ACCTGGCCGGTCCAAGGCTGGAATCAATTGGCTTAAGAACATTGGGTGCCTGTACACTAGAACTAGATGCCGCCATTGTAGTCTGATAGAGCATTACCTGACCTTGTTGTTGAGGCCCGTTTGTGGTATCACTCTTACGCATCTTCGAATTGTGGCGTTTACCGGTCCTAACGGAGTCATCCCTCAGTAGAGCTCGTCCACGATCTTTTGCATCCGCCGCGATGGCGATTTGGGTGGCACGCTCGCTCTCGAGTTCCTTGTTCGTCTCTGCCAACTGGTACACAAAGCTCTCTTGGATCTTGAGTTCTTGTCGTGTCTCTTCGATTTCTTCGGCCATTGCAGCGATCTGGCTGAGGTAATCGGATTTCGCCTCAATAGCCTTTTGTCTTGATGCTGCGAGTTCGCGAGTCACGTCGACAAACTCCTGATCCCTCAGCGTGGCACGATCATGTAATGCGTTTCCGTGATGAGCTCGATCTCTAGCGATCTTGATCTCCTCATTCATCTTCGCGTCGCGTTCCTGTACTGCACGTTGTCCAATCAAATACATCTCATCCCGCTCGCTCACGGCAACCCGTGCGCAATGGGCGTCTGTTCAGCGTACCTGATAGCATCATTTGCTTTGCTCACCAATACGTTTTGTGGCTCGTCATCGATCGCCATTTTCGGTTGCGGCAACAACGCTGTCTCCAATCTCTCACGCAAACCACGAATGGTGTTCTCCTCGTTCTGCGAGTCCGTAGTGATCTTCATCATCGATTGATACTGAGCGATCTCGGAAGAAGTGCTCCTTCTTTCTTGTTCAGCCTTATTCTTGCTGACCAATGAGCTTTCTTCCTCGCACCTGATTCGATGTTCAAGCAGATTCACGGTCGCGGCCATCTCCTGATGTTGCTTCTCGTACTCGAGGACTTTAAGTCGGGCTTCGTCTTGATACTCTCCGTAGATCTTCACGAGGTGTTGTGCCTGGTCTTCGGATAGCTTTGTCTTCCCACGTTGAGTGTCAATGTATTGAGCAGCTTCTCGAAGTTGTTCGTCGGATCTTTTGATGATATGGGCTACTTGTTGTTCCGACATACCTGCTCTCCGTTCCAGTTCCTGGATGCGCGTGACATTGCCCTGGTCGCCACGTTCATATGACTCCTGTAGCGTAGCCAAATTGCGCTTAGCCTCCTCCACTTCCTGTTTGAGGGTCTTGTTCTCCTGAGTGATCTTAGACGGACTAGAGCCTGTAGGCGATTTGGATCGCCCTTTTTCCTTTCTCGCAGGACTCATAACGCCCTTAACGCTCCTTCTCGGTGTCGATAATGAAGCTGATGACGATCTCTTCTTTTCTCCGTCTTTGGACCACGCGGCATGACCAACTTCCTTCCAGGATGAATGTGATAGGTTCCGAATGTTGCAGTTCCCGGGCTTCCGGAAGAATCCATTGTACGGCTGTAAATATATTTCAAAAGGTTGTATTGTACCGCAGTTGCAATCCACCGCAGGGACCAATTTTGAACTTACGGCTGATAACCTGCCAGGAGGCGGATCAGCCACGTAATCAAATGACAAGGCAGTTGGGGCTCGACTCCCGTGGGGTGACCAATACCCTCGACAGTAAGTCGTATAGTAGTGGTCGTGGTAATAGGGGGTTGTAAGCTAAAGGACCTGCGTCGTCTCACGACTCGACGCGACCGCGGAATACGAACCCTTTTGCTTTGTTTCACAGCTGTGTTTGGATGTTTGCCTCGATTCTATTATCAAGGTCTTGAGTCAAATGCATTCGCATGCACATGTCGGCTGCACACAAAACAGAATTCCCTCAAAGGTTTAGGATTTAGGACCTTAAACAAGGGGAAGTAACAGGGTGACCCTCAGAACCTGCCCTTAGGATGTTTTAGCCTGCGGCTCGGAGATTCTTAGCAGACAAAAACATCTACTATCTAGGGGGCCCTCTATTATTAGGGTGACGAGAAGGAAACCCTCGAAAGAGGAGAAGGCATCATCTGCGCGACCCCCTGCTAAACTAATCCCTTCCCCTCATCAGAAAACAACCCAAACATGCCAGCTGCGCAATTAAAACGTCTTATATTGTTAGGGGTCCCCGGTTCCAGGCGCTGGGTGTTCAGTGTTGTGTTTTTTTTGCACTTCTGACGGGGACAGGGTCAAAGCCGAGAGGTCTAACAAAAACTGTTTTCAAGGAAGGGTCTTCTTTTCTTACAAACGCTGACTGGCTGAGGGCAGCGGGCCTCCTAGAAGAGGACCATCGATAGATCAATACTGGTTTCAAACTAGTGAAGGATTGGGCTTTGACAAAAGCATCTACTATGTAGGGCGCCGTCTATGGTAAGGGGACGAAATTACCACAAACGCTTGCTGTCAGCATGCTTGCTCAATGGCATTCATTAGGGGAACCCGTGTTCTTGAGGGAACTTGGCTCCAGCGAATCGTCTTCGCAATTCGTCTTCGGGTTGGAGTTCGTCTTCGGAAATTCGTCTTCGCAATTCGTCTTCGGGAGGGAATCGGCTTCGGGTGAGAATTCGGCTTCGGAGAATTCGTCTTCGCAATTCGTCTTCGGGGGGGAATTCGTCTTCGGGAAATTGCCTTCGCAATTCGTCTTCGGGAGGAATTCGGCTTCGGGAGGGAGCTTGGCTCCGGCGAATTCGTCTTCGCAATTCGTCTTCGGGTTGGAATTCGTCTTGGGGAATTCGTCTTCGCAATTCGTCTTCGTGGGGAAATTCGGCTTCGGGACGGAATTCGGCTTCGGGAATTCGTCTTCGCAATTCGTCTTCGGGTTGGAATTCGTTTTCGGGAATTCGTCTTCGCAATTCGTCTTCGTCTGCGGGTGAAAAAGTGGTACCGCCCCAGCGGCTGCAATGCATTAGTTCATTCACTCATTCATTTTTGTGTCATTCATTAATTCATGCATTCATGCGTTCATGCATTAGTTCATTCATTAGTTCATTAGTTCATTCACTCATTCCCTCATTCATGCATTCATGCGTCCATGCATTCATTTCACTTCTTTCTTTCGTTCTTTCTTTCGTTCATTCCTTCCTTCCTTCCTTCCTTCCTCCATCCATCCATCCATCCATCCATCCATTCATTCATTCATTCATTCATTCATTCATTCATTCATTCATTCATTCATTCATTCATTTCATTCATTCATTCATTCATTCATTCATTCATTCATTCATTTATTCTACTCATTCAAACGGCGAACGCCGAGAAAACGAGAAAACGACGAAAACGGGGAAAGATAATGCATTGGATCAACTCATTCATTCATTCATTCATTCTGAATCGGTGAACGCCGCGAAAACGGGAAAACGGCGAAAGCATCGAAACTAAACTGCGGCAAGCCAGCTACAAAGGCAGAGCGGTGAAAGCGGCAAAAACAGGAAAACGGAAAAAAACAGGAAAGCGAGAAAACGGCGAAAACGGCGAAAACGGCGAAAAAGGCGAAAACGGCGAAAACGGCGAAAACGGCGAAAAAGGCGAAAACGGCGAAAACGGCGAAAACAAGAACCGGCGGTTTGCCCGTTTTCCCGTTTTCTCGTTTTCTTTTTGTTCGGGCATCATCCGGCTGGCCCACGGCGCGCGATTGAAGTGCTTAGCCCATTGCGACACCTCGTTCCTGTCTCAACAGGCAACCATTGATCTCAAAGTGGCTGTTGTTGATGACAAAGTCAAGGAGGATCTGCAGATGTTCTTCGCGAAAAATCCGCGGGACTGCCAGAATGATATTCCAGCCATGGTTGTTGAGTTCCATCCCGGTCCCGGGTTTGGGCTGCAGCGTCAATCTCCATGTTGCGGTGGAAGAAGGGTGTCACCACGGCATCCGATCCAGCTATGAGCGCAAAAGCAACTGCTAACATGCGCAACGAACAACACACAAGCATGCAGGACATCAAGATAGCACCATTTTGCTACCGAAGCGAGGTCATTGTCTGGTGCCAGAAATAATCTTGAACAGTTGCAACAAGAATGCAAAGAGGGGGAGCAGGCCGGAGATCCCATTGCGACACCTCGTTCCTGTCTAAACAGGTAACCATGGATTTCAAAGTGGCTGTTGTTGATGACAAAGTCAAGGAGTATCTGCAGATCTTCTTCGCGAAAATACTCTCGTCTGCGAGATTTATGAGTCAGAGTAGGGCTCCTGCCCCGTCTGCGTCGAGTTCTGGATCTGTCACGATCATCACGGCGGGACATGACGGCTCAGCGAACCCAGTTGATGGCTCAGCTTAACCTTGAGAAAGACTAAGTCCGACAAGATTCAATTTCATGACAACGCAAGACCATGACAAGTGCAAGGCAACGCAAGGCAAAACATGATAAGGACCAGCCGGCGGCTCTCCGACGACAGTGAGACTTCACTATGATCTGGTGGCTGTCTTCCCTTTAGTGAAACCTCGTTCCTGCATAAACGTGAAATTCCGCTGGACTATGATAAGAACGTTGAGGTCAATTTTTCCGGCGAACCGGCCCGGGGTCACACGATGGGTACACCCGAGGTTCCCCCGAGATGGGGTGATCACACTTCAACTCCCAAGGGAGGATGCTAATCGTTCGAGTACAACTGATGAGTCTCGAGTACGGCTGATGAGTCTCTCATCGTTCGAGTACAACTGGTGAGTCTCGAGTACAGCTGGGGTTCAGCTGGTTTTGGAGAAAAGGGCAACAAGGGGACCTTTGTTTGGGGTGGGCCCGCCAGCTGCCATGACAATGGCCCAGGCGCAGCCCCGCAGGTACGTTTGGACCCGGACACCGGGGGGCGTCTTCACCTTCCGGGCCAGCTCCAGCCCCCTGCAGACGAAAAAGTTGGTGGCAGGGTATTCTGCCACTCCGCACACACACACACACAAACAAAAAAAACAACGCGACATGCAAGCTGGAAGCAGCAACCAAGAAACAGGCACATGACAAACTACCACGATTTCGAAACAACAGCAACTTGCTGCTTGTTAGCCATCCTGAACATTGAAGAAGCAAGCGGCAACACATGGTCAGTCCTCAGAACGGATGAATCGAAGCTCTCCATTCCGCAGCCATCCGCGGGCACTGCGCTGCCCCTCAAAGACATGAAGGTGTGCAGGATTCAGCTGCCCTGCCTTTGGCTTTTCTTGATTCAGCCGCTCGGCCACCAACTCCCGCACGTTGTCTGCAGAGAGCACGACACATCGTCCTGAAGGGCTTGAGAAAACATGGCGATTTAACCGCCACGCGCATAGACTTGTTGAGACAGCGACTTTGTGCGCACGATGCCCCGTTACTTCTTCAATGCGCGTGACTCGTTGCCATTCGAACCACTTCCACCCAATTTGTCGATGCAATGCGCGGCACGCTGATGGCTGGCTTGTCACTCACTCGTTGACTGCTTTGAGCTTAGTTTGTATCTACCAGCCTGCAAAACCAAAGGCTTTTGAAAAGGCAACCGCCAGCCAAGACCAACCAACCTTCGAACAGCGACCGCTGGATGAACATTTGAAAAGTCGGACTTCCGCCTAGCCACCGCACGACAGGCAACCTCAAAAGTCCCTCTGGGCTATATCGGGTATCGATGGTACCGTCAAGAGGCCCAGTCAATCATGCGAATCCATTGTTCGAATTGCGCTTGGTTTAGGTGTATTTTCCAGCCTGCAAATTGAACAAGTGTATAATTGCTTTTAGATAGCTGCGCCGGGAAGGACGCTTCTCCTGCAAGCTTCTCCCATTTAGAATTTCAACCCAAACTCGGCGGACGTTTTGGCTCGACCCTCACTTCTGTTACTCATAAACCATTCTCGGAGAATCATGTCAGCCGGTCAGCTGTTGAAGCTTCAGGATCTCTTCTCGGTTTGTCGTGGTTGGCATTGGGCAAAGGCTGTGGCACAAACATGCATCCTACGTTCGGCCACAGGTTATCTTGTGACTGTTGCTGTTCACAACTAGACTTGGGCTGGGCATCTAGGCTAGAACCTGACAGACTCAACAAGGTCACATTAAAAAAACTGCCTAGCACCGCCAACCAACCGTCTGTCTCAACTACGCTGCATCTCCTGCTGCATTTGACATGAAGCCTTCAGTTGCAAAAAACAAGTTGGGCAACTTCGCCGGTAAGATCGGCATGCCATGTTGTTACCTCAGCATGCTTAGAGAGAATGTGCTCCCAGTCTTGCCCTGCGTGAGGTGCAGGGCTGTGGCTTTGGACATGAAACAACACAAGTTCGACAAGGGCCATGTCAATGCGCATCGACGGGAACCAAGGCTCTTGGCGTTGGCCTTCTGGCTTCAACTTCCACGCCGTGCTCTGTGCTCTCAACGCAACACTGCCCGAAGGGTTGCAAACATGATTCACATCCCTAGCGCTACCTCGTACATACACATGCTATCGCAGCCCGTGCGAGCATGAGCAGCGTAGACCTACACTAGTGGCCAATCCCTGGGCTAAGCGGCCTGCATTTGGTGGCCAACTGATTTGAAGGGATGTTGGCTCTTGCCGGTCAACCGATGCCTTTAAACGCGCAAAAGAAACCTCGGCCAAACTTCAGCAATGTCAAGACCTCTTTCGGCAATCAGCTAAGTTCGAGTGTCTGGCTTGCATCGCGGTATCGGTAGTTCTCAGGGAAGAGCGCGTATCACACATGGCGCTTTGGCTGTGTCCTCCTTCCATTATTGCGCCTTGGCAATGCTTCCAATTTGCTTGCAGGGTTACTACCATTACTTCTTCATAACTTCAAGGAGGGACATCTGTTGACTACTTTGGTGGGGCCGCCGGCTGACATTCAGTTGGATTTTGGCTGGCTGGAACAGACGCAGTTGGGCAGTGACCAGACCAGAAAACACAACAAATGATACATGACGTTCGTGACAGCACAGGCACCACAGTTGCCGTTTCCTATAGTTACCCTGCCCGTGGCCTACAGCCAAACAGTTTCAATCACAGTTCAACACGGGCTGACATGGCAACCACCGGCCGACAGCCCGCCAGCCCTCCTCGCACCAACCCGCGCAGCTGGTGCGCCATCTTCAGAAGGCCCGCCGGCACAGCCGCCCGAGGCACCTGCTGGAGCCGTGCAAAGCGCCAGGCGGCCCGGGACCTTTGCAGGGCCTTGATCCAACTCTCCAACTTGGAGCGGATCATTTTAAGGTCCTGCAGGGGTTGCACTCCCCAGATTCGTACTTGCCACCGATTGGAAGAAAAATCTGATTCTTGGATTCCATGCTATTAATTGGCAGGAAGGCAGACCAATGAATTTAGGATCGGTTTGATGGCTTCGGAAGGTTTGACCATAGATCTTACAGGCGAACTTTTCCCCGAGCATGTGTTTGTTCCTTTTCGTGTGGACAAGGCCATTCATGAAACGGGCAAAGTACGAATCTTTCAAAGAGCCCTGTCCTCGGCATCAAGCTTAACGGCCCGGAAAATGACCCAAATGCTTCCTCGGCCCAGAAAGAACTCAAAGTCCCTGCTGAACTGGCCACTGTACTCTTCGTTCTGCGTGAGCGATGTCTGTAGTTGTCTGAGTTGGTCAGGGGGCACCGCGGATGCATTGATGTTTCGCACAACAAAGGAGTAAGTGGCCCAGTTCTCGTCGATGGCCCGTTCACGGATGTCGACGCTTATGTGTGGCTTGCTGCCGTCTGGCAACTCAATCTCTGTGAAGAACGTTCCCAACGCACACAAAACCTTACTGGCTCAGTTGACTAAGGAACACCTGGGCGACTACAAGGAACAAACAGGCATGCCAATGCGACAGCTGTGACAACAACAGTATGCGCGGCACCTCCGGAGATACTGGCTGAAGCATGAACAATTGCGGTGCGCAACTGTGGTCATCAGCTCTGCGCAAGCTCTCTTTGCGCGATTGCAAGCGCCCGACAGGCCGGTTGGGCCAAGTGGTGACCCCGAATGAAAGGCTTAAACATCAATGCGCCGCGCACGATTGCAAAAGACCCGCTTAATTACACTGCCTGAGCAGAGCCAGCTTGCGCAGGGAAGGCTTGTCACTCGACTTGGAATGGGACAATCCAACCTTGTGCAAGTCAGCACGTGGCCGGCTCTTGATTTTTCTGCGTTCTTTCTGCTCCGTGCGTCGCATGGAACCCACAATGGCACATTACCAACAGCCGACTTAATGCAAGCATGTCCAAGCTGCCCCCGTTTTATGGCTATTGCGCCCACCCCCCCCCCATTTTTTGAAATCGCTGCCAGCCGGGCTCATCACTTATGCTCATCCCAGAGAAGTTTTCGAAGCTTACTGTCTTCATGTAGCATCCAACATGCAATGCGTTTCGCATTAAGATTTGCCACCAGGCCAGTAGAGCAGTGCGACTGGCTGCTGCTTCCGCGAAACCTTCTGCGTGACTTGCGCGACTGTATTTGCCTTCTGCGGGCTGCAAATTCTTTGCACACGGCGTTCGCGGCGCAACCTTTCAGCGTAGCGTGCGGAGCCCGCTTGCGCAGGTCTAGCTTGACAAGCTCCAACTTTTCGGCACGAGCGCAGTAGACAAAGTACCTTTTGGCAACTCGAGTTTGCACATCGCACACGTTTCATTACAAATGCGTGAAGTTTCTTTAACGGCTCCAGCTCAGAGTCACAACTTTGTCGAACGGAAAAGTACAGATGCAGAAGTACAGGGTGAAGTACGCCTTGGCAGCCCCAGCTCGCAAATCGCAACTGGTTAAGCAGGCAGGCAGCCAGGCAGGGCAGGCAAGCAAGCTGCAATGCCACCCAAAGATCGCAAATCCAGCAATGTGATCCAAAGATTGAGCGGAGGTGGGGCCGCAATCGGACGGACGATGTAAATGAAATGTCACTGGTCACATCGCACCCATGGATCAGAATGGGGTGTCTCACGAGTCCCACTGCAGGCTTCCCTCGGGGCACGGGGCTATCCTTGGATTTATAAATCCTGTCGCCGACCCTTTGAACTAACGCAACAGACCCATTCGCACAAGCAGTGCGAAGACAATCGAGAATGCAAGTTTACTCTTCAAGCGGAAACACTCTGCGCAGGATCTTTCGGTGCAAGCCTGCCCTGTGCAAGTGTGCTCTGCGCCCCTTTGTGCATGACAGGGTGCAGCATCAGCAAAACAAAAGAAGCTTTTATGAAACATAGCCGCATAGCTTCAACTGTGGCATCTCACCAGAGTTAAGAAGCACACATTTGCTGGGGGACCCTTTGGTGGACATCCTTTGACCACCAACCCCTTTTGACCAAACTTCCAGTGAATTCATACCCAAACAGTTGCCAGTCCAACGAAGGCGCAGCATCGGCATGGTCCACCCCAAACAGATCTGGATTGTCCGTTTTCTTGTAACATTTCCGCCGCGCCTCCACCACGGCTGTCCAAACTCCTTCTGGAATGCAATTCAAGCCAACCCCGCTCTCGGTGCTGGAGCTGGACATCGATGGCAAGGATGCTATCGTCTCGATTTCCTTCGCGGCATCTTCCAAGGAGTTGCATCTGGCCACTTCGAGTTCTTGCCTCCGATTGGCACGAAACAGATGCTGACTCTCATGGAAGGTTTTGCCTATCCTCCGCAGCTGTTCAATCGTGCCCTGCAGTGCTCCATTGAGGCCTGTATCTTTATCCAACACGGCCTTCACTTCCTTGTCAACTAGAAGGTCCAAACGGCCCCACAGGCAAAACGAGTTCTGCAACGCGGAGAAATGCTCATCCTCCAGCACATTCACGTGCCAACGCTCGGGCAACTCCACCTGCAAACACTCGGCGGGAAACATTGGCTTTATAGCGTGGGTTGCCTGCAGCTCCGTTTTGTCCATTTCGATCCGTCCAATGGTCAGGTGCTGGAGCAGAATTTCCAGCCGATCAAAGAACTCCGAGATTGTGCACCTCGCCTGGGCCTGCATCATGTGCAGCATCGCTGCGCATACCAGGCTAGAATCTGGCAGTGTCTCACCGTACCGGCAGAAGGTCACGTAGACATAATTGTTCGTTTTGTGTGGTGTCACATTTTCTTCTGAAATGCCTTGCGGCTCTTCTACTGAACCATCTATCCGCTCTTCTGAATCATCCAAATCTCCAGTTTCCTCCTCCCTGCAGGTGTCCAAAATACTCACGATACATGAATTTTGAAGCTGCTGTTTTTCCACTTCAAGCATGACTGCCTCTTCCAGCACCAGCTTAAGCTCGGCAATCACAGTTTGTTCCATGGATCTTGCTTGGCCGTGACCAGCAAAATAGACCATCAGCTTTGTGATCTTGCGCTGCTTCATCCGCGACACTGCCTTGCTGATTGCTTCTTTGACATCCTTTTTGAGCCTTTTTTTGAACTGTTTGAGGTTGTCCGGGTTGCCTACGACTGTTGCCACCAGCACCGGGTCAGAACAAAGCCGCAGCTCGCGAGCGCAGCTGGCCAACAAATGGGCATCCCGTGCTGCGTTCTCAATGTCCCGGCCTGTGACGCCCACAGAAAGCAGCTGCCACTCCTCCTCATGGCCCGCAGGTTGATTCGTCCCGAAGGGAACTTGGGGAGTATCTCAAAATGAGGAAATTCCAATGTGCGATTTTTTCGGGCTTCCCTTTGAATGCAATCCTCCGCAAACACAACGACAACAACCCCTTCGGCTTCCCGTCGAAGCAACTTTAAAGGGTGCCCCCAGGCAGCAAAATGCACCACCAGTTCATTGCAGCTCCCCCACGCAATTCGTGGTTCCCCCCCCCCCCGGCAAAAAGATGGCCCGCCTTGGCCACATCCCTGGCTTTCGGCAGCAAGGCCACCGGCCCTCCCTCACCAGCGTCGCAAGTTGCAGCGGCAGCGACCCCTCCGGCCGCCTCCGTCGGGGAGGCGCTGCTGTTGCTGGCCAGGATCCTTGGTATCCCAAAAACCTCCACGTAAAACGGGAATTCAAGCTACACTTGAAACAAAGCAAGGATAATATCGTCTCAATTGGGTCAACCATTCTTCCAAGAAAAGGTTGGCACGAACCCACATATCAGAAGAGTACGTTAGTTGCTTAAGTTGATTTAAATTGGGTATTAACCGGGTAGTAATCAACAGTTGGTTGTTTTGGTAGCTAAAACGCATGAACCGATCGGTTCAACATCAGCTTGATTGGTTCAGCTTGGGGAAAGTCTGAAGGGAACGACTCGATGAACCCCAACATCATTGGAACATGTACGGAATTGCTCAAATTGGTTGGTATGTTGACCCCGGATTCATAAACCCGTCCGAGTGTTCCCTCCAAAAGTGATGAATCACCAAAAAGGGACTACTACTCAGCAAGCTGTTTATTCATCTGGGGTCACATTATGTATTCCTTTGCGGCCTTCCAGTCCGCCCCATCCTTGAAGGGCATTTCCAGGAGGGGGTTTTGAGGTACTGCTCTTGTGCGACCAATATGAGCTCCTAGGCAGCATGTACCCCGTCAGTGGTATATAACCTCCCTAACTGCGAAATCCGTACTTGAGAAATGGCCTTGACAATGCATAGGGTTTCGATTGGCAACCGTTCAAGCACACAGGCAAACGGGATCCATGTGACGTCGCAGCACACCGTTCTTTACATTCAAGTAAAGGTTGAAAGGAACAAATGTTGAGACCCATGTCAAATTTCACTACTGATCTAAATTTTCAGGATGGACAGGAGCCTCGAAGAAACTGAAACAAAGCATCCATGCCTTTCAGGGGAATCCACCCCAAAAAAACGGGAGGGACACGCTTAAAATGTCTGCCCAAGATCTCGGACATTGAGTTGACGGCCGCCGTGCCTGTTGTCCCGGCTGCACTGGACGTCGCGGCCGCGCTTGTCGTCCCCACTGCCCCCGACTCCTGCATCTGCTCCATTGCGTCCATGTCCAAGTACTGCCCCATGCAGTTGTGTGAGGCATCCCTGTGTCCACATGCTTCCAGCTAAGGGACATCCAAAACATGCGAAGAAACACACGTCCAAGCTTGCCCTTGAACTTGTTATCCCCGAATGCCACCCAACTGTCACCGAATTCGCTTGGCAATTTGGCAAAGCACCCTTGACTGCTCGTGGCTGGCGCACGGAAGGCGACACCGAGCGCGACAGTTCTTCATCCATGACTTTCAGTCAAGTCAGGGTTTGGCAAAACTTGGTTGCATCCCCCAAATGACGATATAAAACCTACATGGGAATGTTTGAACAGCGGTTTCTCACAGCGCAGTGCAAACATCCAGGGCCCCCCGCTGATCCAGGAGATCCCCGTCGTTCGGAAAGGAGACGCTACCTGCCCGCCGCTTGTGACGGGAACCACCTTGTGGAGAACCGACTGTTGGTTGGGCTTCAGTGGGAAACAATCAGCATCTTTCACTCCCAAGCTTGGGAACCCATCGGGTTGTCACTGGTGCAGGTTTAGCGGGGGGTTTGCAAACCCGCAAATTCACTTGGGACTCTATCAAAAAACCTGTGTCAAGTACCGTGGGAGGGCGGACCTGGGTCTTTGTAGGCAGGGAAGTCCGGTGGAAGGTGCTGGGGTGAACTTGATGTCATGTTGGGCGCATTTCGATGCCCAGGTATGGCCATTGGTGAACATGGCAGTGTATCTGAGCATACGGTAATTTTTTCTGAACGTCACAAGTGTGTGCTTTTTGAGGGCACTCTGGATATGATTTCCCGACAAGGCACCTTTTGCTTCGCAGCTCCGCATCTTGTCCCTGTCCAATATTGGGAGGTGTTTTTGCCCGCGAACTCTTTCGAACTGAGCTATAGCCATAGTTGTTTGTCCTCATATGCTCCGAATGACGGTTTACAGGGAGGAAAAATCCCCAAAACCAATTTTCAGAATCCTCAAAGCTGCAACTTCCCGGACCTCAATCCACGCGCGCCGCGCCCTCGCGGATTCGGAGACTGCCGCCCAGCCGGCGCTGAGCCAAGGATTTTCCAGCGAGTGCAGAGGCAACTGAGGGGCCTGGAAGTTAGAGGTGCACCAAACATGGAATTCGACGTGGTGGGGGGCAAGGTGGCCATGGGGCAAGGGGTGTAAGGTGCCCAGGAATGTCTGAGCGCCCCCTTGCCCCCCTGGTCTAAAGAGTTGGACGTCAAAAGGGATGCCCTGGTGGCCATGTAATGAGACCTACCTGAAGGAACTAACCTCAGCTCACTTTGGCCATGGATTCTGCGTGCTTCGTGCTTGAAAGCCGCCAGCCAAGGGTCCAAAGGGCCCAACCCCAAAGGGGTCCAAGGCGCCATGGCTTTGCGATAGATCATGGATAGCACAGAAGATGTACGAAAGCTTCACGTCAAAGAACTATCTGAGCAGCGGACAAACCCCATTGACGGTTGGTTCTGCTAACATTATGTTAAAGGTTGACATACACTTTCCCAAAACCCCAATTCAACCCCGCCGACTAAAAATGCCCCTGGATGGTGCTTAAATGCCACCCTGAACCCCTGAACTGCACAATGACTTGAGTTAGGCATTTCTAAGCCTTTTCCAACCAACAGCAACTACATGTTTAGCAAAGTTTGACTCAGCAGTGCAAGTGTGTCCAAAGACCACCCCAGAAACAAGCCACTCCTGGACCAATCCAGCAAGACTCCCGACCATACCATGAGAACTTTCGGAAAGGCAAGCCCAAGTTGTCAAGTTGGTAGTTCCAAAGCAACACCTTAGCTCCACCACTTGAATCACGCTAGTTGGACCTTCTTGCTGGCAAGCAGTGGCCATGTGTGAAGTGCTTTTTGACGAACAAATGCTCGCCAGCGGCCTATTTTGCTACGCATGCGGGGGCTCCCGCTCGGAGCCATGTGGCTCTGGTCATGAAACCTCAAGACTGCACATGATTCAAGGGCGTGAGGCCTGTACTCGATTTCACAGCGCCTCAAAATTTCTTCGCCCTTGAATCGGCCCTCCTGGCCAAAACGCTGCTCTCAGCCTCGATGCCGTACTCCCCCGACTCCAAGACCTTCGTCAAGCTCTCCGTGGACCCGTCGCGCTTTGTGAGGCTGTCCGCCAGCATGTCCAAGTGCTCCACCCAGCGCACACTTCCGTGCAATGCCCGCAGTTCCTCCTTGATCAACTGGATGTCGATCGCCGTTCGGCGATCCTGGCCTCCATGAGAGTCCCGGCTGATCAGATCGAACAGCGACTTGGCATCCACCACCGCCAATGCCTCCTTCAGCTGTTCCGCACTGTCTTCACGAGCAAGGGCAAGATATCCTTCCTCGCGTACCTGATTCTGCCAGTCCCTCAGCTCGAATGTGGGATCCACAATCTCCAAGTACACCACCTTGGCCCAGATGAGCTCCCCCACGCCACGAGCCAATGACTGAGTCTCTGCGGCCAGCGTAGACCCAACAACTCGAGGCAGCTTGCCACTCTTCCACATTAGGATATTCGTCTTGGCCCGCATCCCACTCATCAGCTCCTTGTTGAACGTAATCACCACGTGACCACCTTGCGAACGGTTCTCCGTGGTATTGGCCCAGCTAGCGTCCGTCACCACACCCCACCGCATATCTTCCAGCTTCTGAATCTGCAACGACAAAGTGGGGTTGTCCTTGATCTTGCGCACGGCCTTGTTCATATCGATGACATCGGCAATGGTCATCTTCTTGAGCTTGGATGAAAAGAGAGATGCTGCTGCCGCAGCATCGGGACGTCCCTCCTTTCCAATCCAATTCAAAGCACCACACACACTCCTAGCCGCTGCCGTTTCCTCCACCTGTAGTAGAGCTCCAGGATGCTTCTTCCGCTCCTTCTCGATACTCATCTCGCCCAGTCTCTCCCGCACAAACTTCTCCATGTCGATCTTCACCACTCCATGCTCAATTCTGATTCTCCTACCATTGAAGCCCACGCCCTTCTCATCCACGTCCTTGAGCTTCCCGAACTTGAATCGCTCCTGCAACTTCTTCACCCGCTCATGATGCTCATCTTTGCCCATGAGCAACAGGTCGTCGACCTCCACCAGGACGATCCCCTTGAGAAGACCTTGTACATGAAGCAGAAACATGCACGGATCCATCCTTGAAGGTTTATATCCCAGGGTGCCGATGAGGTAGCGTCTCAAAGTCCGCCGCCAGTGCAAAGGGGCATCCGGCAATCCATAGCATCCGAGAACAATCTCCACCAGCTGTCCCTCCTCCAGGTCGTTGTGCCCTCCTCGACACTGCCTGCAGTACAGCTTACCACGCCTTCGAATCAAAGGCATGGACTGCGTGAAGGCACTCTTGAGATCTCCGATCTTGAACTCCAGGTCGTGATTGATCGCCGCCTGCATTGCCACCTGCAAAGACGAAGTTGCCACCGTCGGCGCAAACCGCTGCAACTCCAGGATGTCCGGATCTTTATCTCCTCGCACACACCATCGGCTCTTTCTTGAAGCAGGCACTCCAACCTCTTCCGAAGGCTTGTAGCGCCTCACCATTCTCGTCGGTAGTATGCGTCCAAGTTCTCCCCGAGCCTCCAGCTCCTTCGTCACCTTCCGCGATTCCGTCACAGAGAGAACCTTGACCGCGCCGCTCTCCACAATCTTCTGCCACTCCTCCTTGTCCGCGCAATTCCACTCGGCTTTCTCGCCCTCCGGGATCTCGTGGTCGTAGATTTCTCCATCTCCACGTCTTTTTCCTGCAGTAGTAAAGGTCTGATTCACCGCCACCTGCTCCTGGTCCACCTTGAACTCGGTGCACCCTTTCCACCAATTTCGCGTAGGCCGCTTGTCGTCCAGCCAGCTCCATTGGTCCTCCTCCACGCGCTCGGTTCCATCAACGAACTTCATGAAGGACTTCCTCTCCTTGAGTATTGATCGAAGAGGAATCGGACACTGCTTCACATCTGTTGGCTTAAATCTGGCCTTCCTTTCTCGCACGTGGTGTCGCTGCAGAACCCCTCTGAGAGGGTCATACACCCAGTAGTCTTCCCCGGGCTCGATGCTCTCCGACTGGATCTCCTCCTCCAGGCCGAAGAACACCTCATTGAAGTATGGAGCTGCCAAATGCGTTCTCCACCTTGCACCTCGTTCGGATCGATGAGGTCCACTGCTTCCGCTAGACGGTATCCCATCCATCACATCATTCATCTCCAATGCTTCCTTCTCCAGCCGCGCCCGGTTTCCGGCTTCCTCTGACTCCGGCTCTGGCTGCGACTTGGATTCCTCACTCTGCGCATTCTCCTCGTCTTCCATGTCCTCCGGGACTGGTGGAAGCTCTGGCTGAACATCTTCTTCAAGTCGCCGTCGGGGTTGTCCACGTTCTTGCCCTTCATGATGTACAGGATCATCTCCAACGTCCGCCACCTCGGGCTCTTCATCTACTTCCTCAGGCAAACCTGCTTGTGCTCGAGCTTCTGCCTCCCAATGCTCCTCTTCCGCCGCGTCGCGCGTCACATCGCGGTATCCAGGACGATGAGGATTCCGCTTCAGTCGCTCTTGCATCTCCTGGAATGACTCTGCCACCACCTCTGCTCCAAGCCGTTCCTCTTGCGTTGCGTCCCGGACCTGTTCCTGAGCAGTGCGCCACAGCTCCCCCATCATGTTGATCCAAACCACCGCGCCTTCCATGCTCAACACGGTGCCTGGCCCGGTCCACACTGCCTTGCGGGTAATACGGCCACCTCCGCCGTCAACCCTTCGCCTTTCTCTCAAGATCCGATACACATACACAAGATCTCCAGGCTTCCAACTTCTCTGAGTCCGCGGCCTAGCCCTCATAGCTCGCCTTGCAGCATCGCGCGAGTTCGCCTTGACGAACGCTTCCTGCGCCACCTCCCTCATCTGGAGCATCTTGATGTAATCGTCGGAGTTGTTCTGCGACTGCAGGGTGGGATCGATAGCTTCGTCGCTCATCATAGATGAAGGAACTCTAGGCCATTGTCCAACTTGCCTCTGCGTAGGGCTGAAGCCAGATCTATTGCTGAACCTGTTCTTCGCAGCCTCGATCTCCTGCATCAGCCTCAGAAGCTCCGCATGACTCCCCGGTGGCATTGATTCCCTCGCGTGAGCTAACATCGTCTTGTAGAGACCTCCATGCCGTTCGACTCGTCCCTGCATCCACGGAGCCTTGCTTGCCGTCTTGAAGACCACTATCCCAGCGTCAGCACATAGCTTGCTGAACTCTGCTTTGAACTCCGTGCCCTCATCCACCGTGAGATACTCAGGTGCGCCGAAAGTCCGGAACCACGTTCTCCACAATGCCCTGAACACTGTCTGCGGTTCCTTGTTCTCCACCACTTCGATCATCTGGTAGTTTGTACCCAGATCCACCATGTTGAGTGCAGGAAGTAGTGGTGCCAATCCAGGGGCCGAGCTCACACTTGGGATGAACACCAGGTCGATCCCCAGTGCCACTCCTGGTCTATAGGTCTTCGGCACCACCGCTGGCCTTGGCGCTTTGGGAAGTGGATGCGCTTCACATTCTGGACATCGGAACTCCTCCTGCACCCACTTGACAATCTCTTCTCTCACACGCCCTGCGAGCAGCATCCTGACGAAGGCCAACGTATTTGGATGACCGAGGTTCTGGTGCATCTTCATGATCTTGCCCTTCTCCTCCTTGGTCACCATGGTCGGAATTCTCGGTCCAGACCCACGTACTCGCTCTTCTTGGCGTAGATCTTCTTCCAGATCTCCCACATCTTCCTCCGCAAAGGTGTACTTCTCGGTGTCCTCCTCCTCGTGGTAGCTCCCAGCGAATCTAACTACCTTCTTGCGCTTGATGTAGTTCCTCAATCCTTGGGCGATCGCGACACACAACTCCTCCGGATATATTGCTGCCTTGGCTGCCTTTCCAGACAGCAATGGCACGTGTGCATGTGAGTGGTCACACCTTCGATCCAGGAGCTGAGCGATCTCGGGGCAGTTGGTGATCCACTTTGTGGGCTTCTGGTTGTACCCTTCTTGCTCGTTCCCGTGCACACACATTTTGAAGGCGCACATGTCGTTCTTTATCGTCTCGACTCCCTCAAAGCCCATCAGCTCCAGGATGCACTTCTCGTCCCATGCAAGAGAACCCGCCGGATTCTCCAGTGCGAAGAGCCTCCTCGCCTCATCTGCCATTTAGCCACTGCCGCTGCGATCTCCATGTGTTCAATGCCCGTGCAGATCATAGTCACTGCTTGCTCCCAGGTCATCTTGCCGTAGTTGAGGTTCTGAAGTTGACAAAAGGCTGTGCATGGAGGGCTGAGCACTATCAGAAGAGGATCATCCTCCCTCAACTTTCTCCACATCTTCTTCCGATCCTCCTCACACGCCAGGTCATAGCCCGTGATCTTGTCGACCGCGACTCCAGTTGACAGCCCAAGCCTCTTTGCCGCAGTTATCACACGCGGTGGTGAATAAACCTCCGCCACGTCCACCGCAAGCGCCTCGGTCACCTGGTTCATGCTCTTTCGCAGCCGCTTTCTCACGTGTCTGTTGAGTGACACCTCGTCTGGACTCTCCACCATCTCCTCCAGCATGTATCGTCGAGTGGGTACCACCTCCAGGTAGACGCCGTCGTTCTTCTCCGCCAAGTTCTTCACCGTGAACCAGCCGTTCTCCATGTCCATGATTCCTTCTGCTTGTTCCCGAGTAGCCACTCTGCACCACTGCTTCATCGACTCCGGCTTGGGCTCTTTGACAACTTCCGTACCGTCATCTTCCTCGCTGGTGCTGCTTCTTGACTCGCTTGTGCTTGTTGATTCTGAGGTAGATCCTTCTGGTCGAAGCTCGGAATCAGCTTCCATGGGCTGCTCTCGTTCATCGTCCCCAACTCGTCGACCTTCTCCATGTCGTAGTCCTCCATGGTCTGGGAGCGTTGCATCTCCTCCACCGCCCGTACCACTTGCGTCATTCTCTCCATCTTCCTGCTCAGCCGGCGAACCTCCTCCTTGTAATCCATGATCTCCGGGTGGTCCTCGAGCTTTCCCACACCCTTGGACTTTATCTCCTGGCCCACGGGCTGGTCCTGACTCGGGTTCTTCACGAAGACCGGCACCTTGTCCTCCTTGAGCTTCGCCTTGATCTCTGCAGATGACATCTCCGTCCGCCACCTGGCATTGCACAGACTGCACACAACGTAGCTCATGTGCTTGTTGCCACCGCCCTTCAGATGGTGGCTTGGATGCGTGCAGTCGCTCTCCCTCTTCTTTGGCATCTCCTTGGTCTTCAGCGGGGTGAGCTTCTCCGCCGACTCGATGAGCTGTCCGTAGACATCGCACAAGCTTGTCCCAACTGATTTCCGGTATCCTTCCATTTCTTGTAAAGGCCCAATTGAGAGCCATCCGGACACCCATTCGTGAAGTCCCACATATTGCACCAGGTCGATGTAGCGGTCCATCATCACTCTCCATCCCCGTAGAGCTCGACGTGGATTGTGGTAGTGAACGTCCTTCTGCTCGGAGACGTTTTGCCTTGCCGCCGGAGTGAGCCTCGATTCCTTGATCTTGCCCACCAAAGTCAACGGCATTGCTCTCGGGAGGAATCGAATTGGGTCGCTTTCCGGGCATGAGGCTTGTGCCCAGAAATACTCCGGGACTCGCCATCTGGAAATCTGAATCCCGATAGCCCACTGCTGTGTCTGGAACCTTGAAACCTCCAGGACCAAATTCAAGCACATCGACTGTCACAAGACCGCTTGGAAGTTCATGGAGTTCCAGGGTTCGCCCATTGATTTGCAGTTCAAGGGTCATGGTCACGAGATCGATGATTGCCCCAATTTGACGAAGTAACTTGATCGGCAAAAGAAGTGGAACCGACTCCTTCACGACGGTTGCCTCAAGAATCCCCGTTGTACCAGCTAATCCCAGAGGTATTGCCACAATCCCCAAAGTATGAGCTCTGCCTCCAACACCCTGGGCACGTCCTTGTTTGCCGGTCCACACGCATCGAAGTCCATGCTTGTCCAATGCACACTGCAAGCTGGCCAAAGCTCTTTCGCCCAAAAGACCATCCTGTGCAGCAGTGTCTACCACTCCCTGTGCTGGTTGAGTTGTAATCCCGCAAAAACAATCGTCCCCATCTGATTGTCCATGTTGTCTCATCGCACACGATGAATTCCCCGTCTCAACCGCACATGGAAATTCAACCTCAGGCTTGCGTTCACTCACCGGCCTCCGCATTTGCGCTGCTTCGGCCTGCGATGTCCCACCGAAAAATTCGTTGACCGTTCCCCCGGTCATCAAACAACTACTGAAAACCACATGCCCCGGCTGTCCTCCCGCATCATGTTCGTCTCCAACTGCACAAAACCAGCTCCGGCTAGATCCTGTGTTTGCAGTTCCCGTACTCGAAGGTGGGCCTCCTCCAGCCTGCATCTTGGCCTGGTTCTCCAAACCGCGCTTGTCTGGGGCCGCCCGGCACTCTCGAGCCCAGTGGCCTATGTTGCCGCACCTTGCACAGCGGGTCCGCAATTTGATCTGCTCGATGTGGACGCGCTGGAGTCCTTTGCCCTTGCCTTTTCCTTTTGAGGAGCCCCCGCGCCCTTTGCCAAAGACTGGCTTGTAGTACTGCCGCCCCTTCTGTTGGGCGTTGATCGCCTCCCGCACCTCCTTGTAAGTTGTGAGAGCCATGTTCACCTCGTCCTCTTCATACACGTTCTGAAGTGCTCCTTCTTCAAGGTACACATGCTCCTCGTCGCTCTGGCTGTACTCCTCGTTCTCCAAACCACCCACGTGCTCCTCAGGCGCCTCGAACTCGGCAAAAGTCTCGTTATACAGCCTCGCCTTGCCCTTGTCATCCTTTATCACCTTGTCGAGCTTCCTGAGCGCCCCAACCACTTGGCCCAACTCGAAACTATTATTGGTCCATGTGGTGAGCTTCATTTCCTGGTTCTCGGTCAGCGAGGCCTGCCGGTAGTAGATGTAGCCCTGTGCCTGACTTGGCAACTTGACACCTTCCTTGCTAAGACGCGCAAACTCCTTCTCCATCCGGATGAGGTACTCCTGAAAGTCCTCCTTGCTCTGCCGCGCCTGCCCGTAGATGGCCTGCTCCAAGGCCCTCGCCAGACTCACCTCCAAGTGGGGCTTGTAGTGCTCCCTCAAGGCCTTCATGATGTTGTCCAGCCCTTCTTCACATGCAATCTTGTCGAATTCCAACGCATCGGCGACTGCCCGCGCTGGACCTGACAGACCCCTCAAGAGTCTGGCACCTCTCTTCTTCAGCTCCACCTCCGTCTCAAACTCCCACAACTTCACGTCGCGCTCGAAGCGCTCGAACTCCTGGTGAGGCGACCCACCATCCCAACTAGGCGGCGGAGCCTCCTTCGAGAAGCCCTTGTTCTCCGCCTTCTCCGACCCTTCGGCCATGGCGCGCCCCCCGGATCACCGCCGAGGGCTCCGCTACCACTGACGAACAAATGCTCGCCAGCGGCCTATTTTGCTACGCATGCGGGGGCTCCCGCTCGGAGCCATGTGGCTCTGGTCATGAAACCTCAAGACTGCACATGATTCAAGGGCGTGAGGCCTGTACTCGATTTCACATTTTCCACGCTTGCATCTTGCAACGCGTCCCATCTCAAGGCTCGCTCGGCGAGCAAACAGCTAATCCATCAGCGCTCTCTTGGAGATGCGCTAAGACCTAGACCTGGTGAAGCAAGTGGATGCTTTTTAGTTGAGGGTAATGTCTCACTTCAAAGTGCTCAAAAGTTTGCCAACATCCGAGGTACAAAGACAAATGTCTTCAGATTATGTTGCATACTTAGCCCGTGAAAGGACAAGTAGTTTTGGAGGAGACCTCAAGGGAAACCGCAAATTAAAGCTTCGGCTCAACTAAAGCTCCGGTAAGTCAACATCACCAGGCTCTTCTGGGCAATGCTGCTGCCCAATGTTGAAGCTGCCATTGGGGTAGAGCCGGTTCTGATATGCCTCACGCCAAACCCCTGGGATCTTTTTGGGTTTTGGGAATGCATCCGCAAAATCCTTGGACTATCTTGGGCTACCTGGACCAGGGCTTTCCATGAAAGGAAATTTCAACATGGAGCTCTGTAGTGCTCCACGTGTACCACTGCAAGGCTCACTGCTTGCACGGTAAGCCTCTAGCCAACAACGAAAGAAGCTTGCAGAAAGAGTCCAAAACATGACCCTCCCACTCTAACCCCTGCATATTCTCAATTCCTGGTCGATGTTCACCAAAAACGAACGTCTCCCGCTCCAAACAAAAACTCCGGATCACTCTTGGTGACACCTAGGGATCCAAACCCCGCCCTTCGCGCGCCAAGCCGGAACCCCGAAACCCGAAGCCCAAAACAAACGAGCCCCGACGAAGCGCCTCCGCGATGGGCCAGCGCAGCGCCTCGAAGCCCACGGCGTCGGCCACCCACAAGTCGCAGACAAAGCTCTGCAGCGAGGGCCGCAACGTGAGCTCCAGCCACTGGTGCCGCTCCTCGGATCGCTTCGGGGGGACGCGGACGGCCCTAGACATGAAGCGGCCCCCAAAAGCGAAACCGAATGAAGCCAAAAAAGCCGAAGACCCCAGGTCTTCAAATCTGAACAAGGGGCGCCTCCCGAAAGGAGGCTCCTCAGTTTTGGCCATCCTGCAAAGGAGCAAGAAAGCCCAAAGGAACACCCCCTAGAGAACTCACAGTAAAAACGTAAGGAAACCGAAGGAACCCTAAGACTCCAAAACTCCCTTGAGGAACCTTCAGGCTTCTCAGTTGACTTGGGCTTTAGGATTGCACATCCTTTTAGGGACCCTGCAACAACCAAGACCCCCAGTGGCCATGGGGAAAAAAGGGCGCTCTCTTTCTTGGTAGTTGTTTTGAAAGGGGCCCTCCCCCAAAGAACGACTTGTCCATCTTTCCAAGTGACAGTTCTTTTGTTGCAAACTGGGGAAGCCGACTTACCCTTTTTCCCAAGCCCCCTTCCTCATATAGTTCCCTTTCTGGATGGTCCCCTCTTTGGAGGAGAGTATGATTATGATTATTATTATTATTATTATTATTATTATTATTAATATTATTATTCTATTTTGTGACTTATTATTTTTAAACGGTTTCCCCCCTTGATTCCCGGAAAACATGCAATATTTGCGTTGCAAACTCAAAAAACGGTTTCTGCAGGGTTTCCCGGAGGAAACAAAACAAACAACACAAATAAAGAAGCAACACACAAAAAACAACACCACGAAACAAAGCAAAAGGACGGCCACCGGACCTCCTTTAGCATCTTTTTCAAGGGCCCCCCCACGCCCGAGGCCGAGAGGGCGAGGCGCCGGCTTGTCGGCCACCTCCACGGTCTCATCCGCCGCCTCGCCCAGGTTGACCCCGCCCCAGGAGAAGCCGCCGCGGTACTTCAGGTCGATGCCCAAGACCCGGCAGAAGGGATACCTCGCAGTGGGGAAAATTCAGAAAAAAAAAGCCCCAGGGAGGAAAAGCCCCAAAAAAAAAGCCTCAGGGGATTGAAACCTCATAGAAGAACCCCCAGGGGAAACATCAGGGAAACCCAGTAGAAACCCAATAGCAAAAACCGAGTGGAAAAACCCATAGGCAAGAAGGCAATGAAGGTCCATACTCCGTTTTGAGTTCGTTTTTACACCAGAACCAGGTTTGTTTGTGACTCACTTGGTCCTGTTCATGGATGAAAGCAAAGCCAGCAAAATCGCCAGAAAGGCTAAAGACACCAGTCTTTAGCAAAACTCTCCATCAGGTCCATACCACAAGGCACAAGCCAGAGAGTACCTCCAAAGGAGGTGCAGCACAACACAGGATTTGTCGAACCTCGGCACTTTCTGGTGCTAACTTCGGATTCTGTCCGAATGCGATTGTGCTACAAATTCCGGAGTTTACACACCGAAGCCAGCAAAGCCAAAGAAGATCTCCACTGCTATTCAGCTACGGGACATCTCCCTAACCTGACAGAGGGTCCCTTAAAGAGGAACTCATCTTCCAGCTACCCTCCCCCGCATGCCATTAGCGCGAGGGGTGAGTTGCCCTAAAAGGTGATATTGAAAAACACCCTTTCACGGGGCATATGGGTGTGTGTCAAAAGTAAAAGTAAAAAAGCACCAGGGGACCGCAGGTTTTAGTCCACGTTTCCTTTTAACAACGGCAAACTCATTGTGGGGTTCCCTTATTTTGCCCACCACACCCTGGGGGGTCACATTGCCCCTACGTGAGGAGCGGGCTTTGCTTCGCCGAGGCGCAGAAACGCCGCCATAGTGGAGGACACCGTGTGGCAGTGGCCTTGGCCGTGGCACGCGAACTTGGCCACGTCGTCGCACATGGCGCAGCTGCGGCCCCGGTCCAAGCCCTTCCTCGCGGGCTCGCGCCACCGAAAGGATGGATCGGGGCGGGCCGAAGATCTTGCTTCTTTTCTTGGGGCCTGTAAAATCAACCACCCAAAACAGGGGGGTATTTCCGCATGTTCCCTCAAGAGGTGAGTTCTGAACATCCACCAGCCAAAAGGGCGGGTGATTGTGATATCATGACATCCCCAACCCCAAAAAGGGGAACACGTGGCGGCCCTTCCCGTCGCCTACATTCATTGAACATCCACGGTTGCAAGGCTGATAGGAAATACCTCTTCATTGAACCTATGCGAGATGGGGATGTGGAAGGGGTCTTCTGACTTTTGCAAATTCAGAGGCGGGTTCTGGCGGAAACTTTCAATCCGGTAGTTTGGAGCCCGGCGGTTTTGAGGTTGGGGATGGTTTGTTTCCCACTTGCCCACCCCAGGCCAATGCAAACCACCGACTAAGCAACCAAGCCCACTTCCTGAGTCCCAAACTCTTGTTCACCACTCAAATTTCCAGACCCAAAACGCGACTCAGGTCCGAAACGGAGCGGAGGAAGTGAGCAAGGGTCAAGGGTCCAACTAAAGGCCTCCCTGGGGTTCGGAAGCTTGGCGGGGGTGGTCAAACCGAAGCTCCTTTCAGCAAAACCCACACCAAAAAAAAGTAGAGAAACCTCCGGTCTCACATCTTCTGGCAGCTGGGCGTCTGGAAGGTAATGATGTCCAAGCACCTCCGGATCACCTCAACCGCCTGTTGCCAGGGAAATCAACTTGGCTCCCTACCCGGGATTCCCCTTTTTCCAGTTGCACCCCACCCTGAACTGGGAAACGCTTGGGGCCCTCCATGCGTTCCCGGGCATTGTGGGGCCGAGAGCCACCCTTTCAGAACCATCCCACCTTCCACCCCTCGGGCATTTTCCGACAAACATCGCCACCAGGGCCCTTCTCGTGCCTGACAAGAAGTGGTGCAACCAAAACGGCTCAATCAAAAACAGCACGTGACACAAGCCAACCCCCCAAAAAAAAGCACTGGGCCCCTGTCGCCAAGACCAACGTTCAACCAAAAGAAGTGGCGCGTTGTCTCGCCTTCAGCTGGATCGCTTGGCCCCCATCCGGGGTGTTGAAGTCCAGGTCCTTTACCACCGGGTCGAGGGCCAGAGCGATCTCGCAGAGCTTGGCACGGGTCAGCGGATTGCTGTAGTCGCACTTCAGCCCGTCCTACGCCAAAAGCAGATACACCCCACAAGCAGACGGAAGCCAACAACCCGTCAGCTTGCCAAACTGCAAACATCAACCCCAAGGAAACTTTTGAAAGCACAGCCTAGGCTGTTGTTTTCGCCACCGTTCTACGCACCGGATGCATGGAAGAGAATCCTGGGGGTGCACATGGGGTGCACCTCCCCCTTTCTTGCATACCTCAAGTAGCCTGGAGCCAGCCGGGCGTCAACGAACAGAGACAAAGCAGCGGCCCGAAGGTCCTCCAGGGACAAATACTTCCCACTGGTCGCCAGCTTGTGTCGCTGGTTCAGTCGCAGCACCTCGGCCTTCGCCACCTCCAGCGTCGTGGTTGTGCCGCCCGACTCGGCCACCTCCGCCAGCCACGTGTCCGCCTTCCCCTTGGCCACACCCTTGAGCTCCGCTTTCGAGGTGGTGCGGTCGCCGCCGCTGGCGGACAAGCACCTGAGCCCGGCCGAAGAAGTGGGTGGTCAAAAATGCGTGCCCAACATGGCTTGCCCTGGCAAATGGAAAGGACTAAAACCCACGGTCCCCTGGTAATTGATCCTTCCTTTAAGGGAATCCCTAATTTTATTCCCCCTACTCAGCTCCAGCAAGGTAGGGGGTCTGGAACAAATAAAACATATCCATCCCCTTTCGTCCTTTGGGAAAGATTAAGATATGGGCTATGTTGCAACCAGTTTCACTGCCACATAAGTTTCTGCAGGCCTTACTGTAACCCCCGATGCACCAGAGAAGAGAACCTGCGAGTAAAGCAGCCAGGGGGTTTGATGCTTGCCTCAGAGCGTCCGAAGACGGGGATTCACGGGAGAGAAACCTTTGTTTTGCCCACCTACCTGATTTTTGCCGATTTACCTTGCAGCCTATGGGCCCAGAACAGGTTGGGGGTCAACAAAGAGAGGGCGGCACAGCGGCAGCAAATCCGAAAACGGCATGCGGGCAATCTGCGGGCTCAATAGCAGCTTGGAAGAAAATCAACAACAACCAAGGCAACTATGCCACCTGCAACTTCGGGGACCGTAAACGGTGGATTCATTAGACGGCTTTAACATGCTTTAATTGTGGGCCTCAAATGGCCCCAGAATGGAACCCGCTTGTCGATGAGGCTTGAATGATCCATTCCAGGGCACATGAACTCTTTGGAGGCTGGCTTGAAGTCCACCTTGCCCCGCACCAAGACCCTGCGCCCGGGCATATAGCGACAGCTCTGGGTCATGCGTTCGTAGCCCTGCGGCGCTTGGGTCCACAGGCCGCACTCCACCAGCACGCTCGGCTCGCTTAGGGCCTGACGAGTTTCGGAGACACGACCTGCTGGATCAACAGCTGGGGCGCCAAAGCAAAGGATCCCCTACATGGAACGCACCCTATTGATCAACCAGCGGAATTGTAGAGCTGTATGACAACTCAATGGAAAACATGAGGGCCGAACTTTGGCTTTGCGATATGTTCCGTTCACCAGGGCGAAGCATGAGAATTGCATAACACAGCGGCCCTTTTCATGGATGTGGACCCCCTCCTTCTACGGAACTTAGGGTTTCGGAATCCGGCGACGGGCGACCAAGGTCTGGTGCCGGAGTCCTCCCAACCGTTGCAACAGCCCCAGAAGAACATGCGCTCCAACCGAGGGGTGCAACACCCAGTTTGGAAGGCCGAGCAAGACCTGCGTTGCAAGCCAAATTTTGTCTGGGGTGGCAAAGAAGATCCCACGATTGAAAGCCATCGATAGAAGACGCCTCCATATGCTGCACACGTGAGGAAAGAAAACATCAACCCTCTTTGGCATGGGCTTGCGTAGCCGGAACCCGTAGCCCCAGCTTCAGGGTCCCTAGAGATACACCGAAAAAGATTACACGGTACATGTAGAAACCCTCAATGTGGTTGATTTGGCCAAGACGTATCCTATGCCCATTGTCCCCTGCCCAAGTTCTTAAGCTTTGCGGGTTAATCGGGACACACTCACACATGTTCTCCCAAACAGCTTGGCCTGGATGAATTATAACATTTCACCTAACCTGAATTAAGGTGGCTTGGGGGCTATTCCCCACAGAAACCACAATTTGGGGGTGAGGTCGTGAAAGGTTGTTGTAATTAATCCACCCAGCTTGTTGGGTGTCCATTCTTTCGGAGACTTTCTCTTGGGATAGCTTCGGGGCGCCCGAGCGGAAATTATTCATCCGACCTCCGGGCTCATCTCCGGCAGCGCGCCGAACAAGCTGGCGGAGGAGGCGGAGGACCCGGAGAGCCGCTCCTCGAGCCGACGCCGAAGAGACGGCGTGCCTCGAAGACTTTTTCTTCGACATTTGGCCATGGGTCAAAGGCCCGGTCATCCCCCAGTGAACATCCCAATCCAACATCTAAAATAGACTAAAATGCGTGGTGCACCTATCCCAAAATGGTTGGGACTATCGACTTGTTCTGGCAGTTGACAAATCTCATACCCAGATATAGCTGACTGTGCAGATGGTCGGACGGGTGGGGGTCGTAGCACTGTCTTCCAAAACAAACGGGTCCTGGTAGAGGGCGCCCAGCTTGCCACCGCTCCAAAGCCTGGGCGTGCGAGGCTAAGCCGAACAAGACAAAAGTAAACATACCAAACAAAAAATCAAACAAATTCAGACCCCCTTCATCTTAAAATCTGGCTAAAGATCCTTGAAAACACCAAAGTTTGCAAAACCAATACCCCAAATACCATCCAAATATCCTCGCCCTAAACATGCGTCCCCGCGTCAAAAACCTCCTCCCGCACAACCCCAGCCAAAAGAAAAGGAGCACCGACAAGCACGCCACGAACCAAACATTTCCCCCCAAAAATAAACAACACGCACAAGGCAAACAAAAATGACATCCAAAGAACGAACAAACAAACAAACAAATCAACAAATCAACAAACAAACAAAACACACACACACAAAAAGTATCTGCAAAACACAAACAACGAAATATGTGACACCCAAAGAACCAACAAACACAAACAAATAGAATCACATAAGCACTCTTCCAGGCGTCTGCTTGAACTGCTCGATGGCCTGCCGCTTCGGATCCTCCACCTCCCGCAGCGCATGGGCCACGCCATCTTTGAGCGCATCCGCCACCACCACGTTCTGCCTCGATGCGTGCGAAGGCGGGGGCTGGGTGGCTCGGTGCCTTTTTGGGGTTGGTTTAACGGGATATCCGCCCACCGACTAACATGGCAGTGCACAGACTCTTGTAGAAAGACTACCTTCCTCTTGGAAAGGGGGCTTGTGCTCTTCCCTGTTAGTTGGTTGGAGGGTAACCAAAGGAACCTTCACACATTTGGGGAGCGTAAAGGGACAACATGGGACAACACACGGAAGTAAACACATGTTAGGGCGTGCCGCTAGCTTGAGACACGCCCAACTCAGTGGAAGACGTTTATGATGATGCATGGAAACTAAGTGATGCCACCGGTCCAGACACAACTCTTTCGATATGGATTTGCTTTACGAGGGTACCCTCGTTCATTTCAAGGGAAACCTACGTGGGAAACATCCATCGCTTCATCTCCGGGGTTCCGCCCCGCTAGTTCTTCAACTGGGCCCCCTAAAACTCCAACTACTTCCAAGCCCTTAAGAACTTTACCTACGTGGAAAACTCCGATTCAGAGCCGACTCGAAAGAGCCACGGGAGGCTCATGTGGATCTTACAGCCCGAGTTCTGGCTCTAACCAACATGGCTCCCTTTGCGAGTCAGCACTGTGTTTTTCAGATGGCAAATTGGTGGCATCTACGACCAGCAAATGGGAACATCGGCACCCGCCAGCCACAGAGAGAAGGGATGACCCAGGTTCTGCCTAGCAGACCTCCCGACTTTGCGCAGAAAAGGTCCAAACTTTTTGGTGCCGAAGAAGAAGTCTGCCAACCACAAGCTGAAAGCTTGCCAATTTTCGGCACCCAAACGTCTTTCCAGCCTGGCAGTCTGCACAAAGAACCACCCCGACCCCGAACATGTTTTTTCCCGTTGGAGTTGGAGATGCCACCTCAAAAGAAGGGAGCGACCCTTGCTTGGTCTTCCTTCGAACACACCCAAATTTAAATTGTTTGTCTCCGAATAACGGGCCCCTGCAAAAAATGGTTCGGACTCCGCTTTGGACCACCCCAAGGATGCCCCAAATATCCCCAAATAATCGCAACCGCCACGAATGGGTTCAGAGGAGAACAACCCCGAATGGTGTCTATTTCTTTCGGTGTCACATGGCTTGTCTCAAAGATTCAAAATCCATTTCTTTGGAAACAAACACGCAAATTCCCGCTTGGTTGCTGCCGGCGTCCTGTTGGGAAGTGGTCAAAAAGACTCAAGCTCTCACAAGTGCACTCCTAGCATGTCCTCCAGTTTCAAATGATATAATTAGGCTGCTTCACGGGGTGCCTGAGAATCCCCTTTCGGCTTCTTTTTGACAAGTTTGCAATTGTAGGCTTTTGAGAAGTGGATGAAAGTGTACGGAACAGTTGCGCAAGTTTCGTTTAGTCACTTTACACGCATACTGGGAATCGTGCTATGTACATGCACATTTGCGCCAAAAAATATTGTTCCCCAGCTGACGTGCAGGATCCCCTTGTAAAGCAGGCGGTGTTTGCCCTCAACATCCACCCTTTGAAGGCCAACAGAAAGCGAGTTGCCTTGTGGCGCTTCAGAATGCCCGGACAAACAGGGTTGGGCCAAGTTCACTATGGTTGAATCACTTTTGTGTTGTCAACCTCACATTTCAACCAGGTCATTGTTTAAATGATTTGGCCCAAAACCGCCTCCTCATGGCGGACACCACCTTCCTGGGTAGTTTGTTTCTAGGATTCTGGGCTGTAACAATTTCATGGTTCCTTTTGGGTATTGGTTTTAGGGTTGGTTTTGAGACCAAGTGTATATGGCACGCTCCGTGTTCCAGACGAGGGGCGCGTGCACCACGAGCTGCCCCGCGGTGGTGGCGCCTTTGGCCTCCAAACGCTTTTCCAAACTCCCGGCCGCCGCCTCGAGTCGCCGAACCGCCGAAGAGAGAGGAATGCTTAGAAATGCAAAAAGACGCGGTTGCGTTCTGCTCCCCTCAAAGTTTAACTTTTAGTGGTTTAATGGAAAGCCCATTAGTTGGCAAAAAGTTAAAGTCCTAACATCCAAGCAAATGCAACAAAGATAGGGATGCGTGGAACAGAGCCAAGGCAATAAGGATGCTTAAGAAGCCAGGAATAGCCAGGGAGATGCTGCGTGGTGCTAGCCCGTGGAATCCGTGTGGAATCGCCGAAAAGCCAGTGACCTCGTTTAGGGTTAGGGTGTTAACAAGCTCAACCTTGACACTGCCAGTGAAGCAACTTGAGGTTAAGAAGTAACTTGAGAAGGAAGAAGTAGAGCATGTGGACAGCTTTTGCATTTCATGCACTGCACATTTTTGCACATCAGAGAAAGTGGAACTCCGACTCACCTGGTGGTTTCCCTTTTGGTTTAGACAATCTGCTCTTCATTAGTTGGACCTTTGGGCAGTGATACCGCGGTGGTCCCCATCCAGCTCTCCTAAGACCCTAGACCCAGTGGTTTGGTGCGGAGTGGTTCCTCACGTAAGCAGAGCTGTGGGTTCAAATTCCAATTCCCAACAGCGGTCCAAGAAAAACCAAGACAGAATGGCGGGATGTGGCTTCAACATGGGCACCACCTGTGGTTTCAAGGTTGCCGACCCTTCACACACCGGTCAAAGAGTTTGCACAGTTTGAATAGTTGACCACTATAGTCACTATTATCATATGTGTGTATGTTTCATGGTGCGTAAAGGGCACCATGCTTTCAACAGTTTGCACTTTTTACTTTGTGCACACATTCACCCACAAAATCAGCGAACAATCTCGAAACTTGATATCTTGACTTTCAACGAGCCGGCGGACGCGGAAACCAACGCATTGCTACATCAGTGGCTTCAACATGAGCATCACTAGCAGCTGAAAGAGCGCAAGCAATTCATTTACACATTTCGGGGACCTAAGCTTACGGCTGGCACGTGCAAGTGCATAGTAAATAGCTTGTGGCTCTCCCCCCAAGAACCGGCCCAAGAACGGAACTTCGTTCTTCCAATTTGGTGCAAACCCGTCGACGCGCTCCGAGCCCAAGCCCCCAGCCCGCCCGAGTTCTCGCCTCGGCTTTCTCGCCGGTGAGGAAGGCCACAATGCGGCGCTGGAGCTGGGGGCCCAGGTGCTTGTCCTTACTGGATGGCCCCAGTCGTGGGCCAAAGACGTGGGAGTTCTGCGGCCCTTTTTGGCGAAACAAACGCAGATCTTCTCCCGGAAACGTGTTGAAGTCCAAAGATCCAACCAGCAGCCATGAAGGAACCGCCTGCAAGAGCCTAAATAATTGGAACTGGTTTCTGAGGTTCCTACAACCCTCTTTTACTCATGATGGGAGAAAAAGGTTTGTGAGAATGCCGTAGGCCCTCCACACAACAGGAACGACTCTGAGGGAACGATTCAACGGGTCTACAGAAAGCCGATGCCCCCTGCCGCAAGCATATTCCACTTGTCCAGGCTTCCCCTCACAAGGGAAGAAAGGCCAGGGAGGGGTCTAAAACATCCATTTCCACAACCGCCACTCAGCCCCAGCTTGAAATCATCAGCCCCCCTCCCCCTTCGGTTGCCGAATGATGTTCCATTTTTGCCCGGGGCAGCCCTTGGCAGCGCAGGGGATTCAGGGGCTAGAGCCCAAGGAGGTTTGGTTCAGGTCGAGTTGCCCAAGAGCCTCCGGAGGTGTTTGGTCTTGCAGAACCTGGGGGGGGGGGGGCGTCTTTGGTCCTTTCTTGTGTGAGGGAAAACGCCCGGGAAGGGATGGCCTCGCGCGGCAAAAGCCAACGGGCAACGTCTTGGTGCGACTTTCGCTTCTCACCGGGCGGCGCCGCCGAAGGACATGCCCGCCTTCCACTTGGAGCCGATGGAGTACACCTGGCAAAGAGAAGAGGCCGCAACCACCTCGGTCCTTGACTTGGGGACTCCCTGTGGGGTGGTCCAAGGGGGTTGGTTCCCTAAGGCTGGAGCCCTGGGGCAACATGTGATTTCTGGCCTGGCCCTCTGTGACATAGCTGCGACGCATGCGTGATGCCAAACACCGCCTGTCTCCAAAAAGGGAAAAAGGGCGGCACTGACCAGCTACGTAAGGAACCCTACAGAAGTCCAGGGCTCTCAGCTACCCACGTACCTGCCCCTTAGTTGAATCATAAATAGTGCTTGAGCCTGGATGTCCACGCTCGGACTTCCCAATTTGCCACTGAAACATCGCACAGGTGAGCTCCAACGAAAGTGCCACCTTGGAAGCTTGGAAGGCCCAGAAAGAAACGGAGAGACTGGCCGAGAAGTTTGGGATCCAAAGGTCCATCTGCAGCTTCTGAAGCCAGAGGCATCCTTGGACATCGCCGCGGCCCGCTCACCAACTTCAGAAAACCCCTTGTTCGTGGTCATGCCAAGCACAACTCAAGGTGGCTCAATCCTCAACTGTCTTCGCTATTTGCTCCGGGCTGTGTGATGCATCATAGCTTACAGCCACTCCTCCCCTTGTTACCCTAAAGCACACGATGAACAAGCAAACCGAAAGCAAAACCCAACAAGCAGGTGCAACATTCAAGACACCCATGTGAGCCAACTGGTTTTGTTTAAAGAACGGCCCCGGTACATCAGGAAACCCTCGTTCATCCGGCGCTCCTTGAACATGGCCCTGCCCAAAACAAACTGAAGGAACATGGACACCCAAATGCATGACCAAATGGTGACAAGTGGGCCATCCCTGCAACTACTTTATTTTACCCAGTTCTACCCATGGGGACATCTCACTTGTTCAGTGGATGGCCCCAACAAAAGAGGTCCAAACTTGCTTTTGACCACAAAAAAGGGTCCGGACCCAAAATGCGGCTCCGGTCCGAGTCCCGGAGCCCAGGTGAGATACGCATAGGACGAAAAAGCACCAAACGGATTTGTGGCCCGAGCCGGGGAGTCCGGGCCTCCAGCTCGCGCTTGGAGCCGGGCAGAGCCTGGAAATGCTTCCGCCACTTGGTCAAGTTGTGGAACTGGTCCTCGTCAACGCTTTCCGCTTTGCGACTTGTCACAAGCTACCAACTCGCAAACAAAGTGCGTCCGCTGCAAGCGAAACACTGGCGTAATTCCACGCAACAGCTAAAACAATGAAACACACTGCAGAGCAACAGCCTACAAGCCCAGCGCTGCGATCAAATTACGGGTGTCTGAGAACAGCCAGACAAATGCACTGGAACCTGAGTGGAGCCTGCCCCCAACAGTACAGCAAGCTTGCCAGTGAAGCTGAGCCGCATGGGCCTCCCATACCATGTTCTTATTGTTCCGTCCAGTGAGCCTTCCAGTCCTGCCTTACTTATCACGATCCCCTTGGCCTGCAAAGGGCCTTCCACAAATCAACGTGGATCCCAAAAAACAACAAACCGGCCGTCAAGGAGTTGCCCCTGAAGCCGAGGGCGGCAAGGACTTCAAGACATGTCCTCCTTGACCCACAGCACCAAAGTGGGCACCGACATGGTGCCCAGCTTCTCGCCTGGCCCGAGAAGCACGTCCTAGCCTGGGCCAAAAAAAAGAAAACGGGTCCACGAGCCAGTCTATTCTCAGCTTCCCAGTTGGTGGTCTGGATTGGTGTGGCTAAGGGCGTGTTTCTCAGTTTGCCCTTCACAAGAACCAGGGGCTCAAACCCCCAAGCCACCAATCCAAACCACTATGCGGTGAAGTATCTTCATTGGGCGTTGGCGCATGGCCCTACATGAAATCGACGCCCGCCACAGCAACAACCTGGCATCCTGAAGGACGGGACCACTTCAACCAACACAAAGCAACAACAGTCCATTAACAGCACTTGCAGCACGGAGAATGCGTGTCACTGAGCAATTGCAAAAATCAGTGGTTCCACTTTGGTGTCCCTTTCAAACAACCTGCAAGGTGGCCCCCTCACATCCACTCCGGCAAATCGAATCTTGGCAAATAAACCCTACTTCACACATAGAACACCAGGTGTCGAGCACTCCCCTCATGGCAGAGCTCATGTTTGTCCACTCCTTCCCCCGCCCCCCCACCCCCGCATGTGCTCTATGCCCCCCGCCTGCGGGGGGCGAGTAGGCGGGGTGGAAGGGGATGATCTTGGTGACCCGGTTCTTCCGCAGCAGCGCCATGGAGATGGCGATGCCGGCGCCCCAGTCCTGAGCTGGCGCTGAGCGGACGCAACATCTGCTCACTTCGTTGATGGCCCACGACGCCTGAGCTTACCACCGAAATAGTCCAGACCCCACAAGTGGCTCAAGCCCAGGAACTCAGGCAGTGAGGTCCTTACTTCGTTTAACCAAGACAAGTTGGAACTTTTGTGTTTACCCCTGAACATGGTTGAGACCCCAAAAGTGACTGCAGTCTGACACGGAACTCAGGGAGTGGGGGAGGCTCTCCTCTTAGCCCCGCACATTTAGCATCCTAGAAGATGCACTAAGTTCTGTCCTCTGGGAGAAACCCGACCGGTGGATAAAGGGAACCCCCGGCCCCCTCCAAAAGAGGGCCAGTTGCATCACCGAGGTGCAACAAAAACTAGCTGAGTATTTCTCAAATTGGCGAACCCTCCATAAATTTGTATATATATATATATATGCATATTAAAACTGAGTTTCATTGGTCATCATCCACAACCGGGCCAGTTTGGTTTGAGGACGCATACATGCATGCTTCCAACATTGTATAAGGACAAACCTGCCCTCTTCGTTTGGCAATCTGACTTCTTGTACTGCACATTCATCCCGGACATTCAACCAGTGCAACCGCCCATGGCTAGCCAAAGTTGTGGAAGATCCACCCTGCATCTCGGTGGCTCCCTTGGGACTGATTTCATTTTTTTGTTCGGTTCAAGGGCCCTACCAAAGCCCCACCAGAACCGCCAAGGCCTTTCTAACTCAGGTTGCCCGTTCATAAAGCTAAATCAACCTCAGTGTCGGGGAAAAATGTTCTTCTTCCGTTGGGCTTGACCTAGGTGGTTTGAAAGCTGGAAGGGTGGAATTGGGAACCCCCACCCCTTCTCCCTTAAGGAGTGGTGGGCGGATGCCTGAGCTTGGTCGCAAATGGGCTCGTAACTTTACTATCCCCAAACACATGTTGCTTTTTGTGTAGCGCCTCCGCTACTAACAATGAACAGGACCAAGCCCAAAAACACAAAGACCATTCAAACTTGGGATGACCATTGGTTGGAAAACCACTACGGTGATATTTCAACCACGCGGGAAAAGTTGCGCTTGATCATCAGGGGAAGGGAACATTGATCAACCCTCACATGGGAATTCTTGTCCACCAATCATTTTCAAGGCGATCTGCCTGACATTCACAGCCATTTCCCCTCTTTTCGGGGCCACGCCCAAGCGAACCCCCAGCCCATGCTTTCAACTCCCATGGAGTGCGCGAAATCCTTGCTTGATTCTACCAGCACGGTTGTAGAGCTTTAGGAAAACACAAAGCCACCAGGGCACCGCAGGTTTTAGCCTCTGGCTCCATCTGCTAAGGTTCCATTTTGGGGTTACCCTATTTTTGACAACCACAGCCACATGTTGGGCGCATCCCGGAAAAAGGAAGATTCAAAAAAAAAAAAAAACGTGCGCCCGGGAGGCGAAGCGTTGTGCGGCCGGGTGGCGTAACCCACCACCGCGGCCTTCTCGATGCCCAAGTTGTCCAGCACCGCGCAGGCAATGTCCAAGGGGCCACCCTGAACCGAGCGAAGCAAAGCCGCGGGCACCGGCGCGTCCTTTTCTGGGTTCAAAGGAAACCCAAAAGGGTCCCTACAAAATAGATGAGGTGCTTTCCTCTTGGTTTGAAAGGGAAACCAAGCAAGAAGGGAAAGACGCCTTTTCTGAGGGAACCTGTCTGAACTGGGAAAACAAAACGGAACCCTATAGAAAAGATCATTGGTTTCCTCTTGGTTTCTCTTCAAAGCCAAGAGAAGAATGTAAAGAGGTGAGTTTGCCCAAGGAGTATCTCGAACCGGAACCTTCTACAACTTGCCTTGGCCTGCAACGGCAAGTCAGGCACTTAAATGCCCTTCAATGTTCCGTACCTTCTACGAAACATGGCAGTTTAAACGCAAGCGGGCCTTTTCAAGACTATTTCAACACCCTACTGTCAGCTTCCATGACTGCTAGCGAGAGGAATGGCTGAACCTCAAAGCTGGTTGGTGGGCTGTAAAAGGTCGGGCTAAACAACTGGATGAAGTTGCAATTTGCTTTGAGGACTGCTTACACCGGTGTAGTCTTGGGGCAAAAGCCGAATGCTTAAGACTGTCCGCTGGGCGTGGAAGTTGAGCATGCTTGTAGATAACGCCTACTCGCCATTCCCCCCCCAAAAAAATAATAAAAATAAAATAAAAAAAATAAAAACAAGAAGGGAAAGCCCGGCCCACCGCTACCAAAAAAGCAGATGGCCTGCCCCGCCTTGCTCCAATTCTGTTTGTCTAGCCTACTTCCATCACACTGGTGCAAGGGACCGAAGTGAAAACGTTGGAATTCAACCCTTTGGGCTGGAAATGAATGGGTCAGCTTTCAACCAACTGACCTAAACATGCACACCTTGCCGGAGTGAGCCGTTTCTTCCCAGGCGTATCCATCTCCCCGTTTGGCCCCTTAAGTGCTGACGTTTGAGAATCCGAAACCCCAAAGTCTCGGATTCCTCTTGAAGTCCGGGCCGCCCGATGCCCGAGAGTCCGCCCTGGGAAGGGAAACCCATAGACAACCGCCATGGATGGGTTTGCAGAACTTGCGCCCTCCCACGAACATAGCACCTCACAGGGAATTCTTCAAGAGATCAGTCTCCCAAGCCTTTTTCACACTGGTAGTTGGGGGAGGATACCCCCCGAGAAGCACCCCTGGTGTTTCTCCCTTTCAACCGGACTCGTTGTGAACATAGGTGTTCTTTTGGAAAAAATAGATGGGCAACAAAATTGGTCGGATGGGCACAATCCTGCACCGAAGAAACCCAACGGAATGACTCGATTCCCCAACGTAAATGCCAACAAACAACTATGTCCTTTCCGAACTGGCAGCTCCCTCCCACTCCCTTTTTAACTGCAAACTTAGATACCCCAGCTCCGTAACGGCTCTCTTCCAACCACCAGCAAGCAAAAACCCCAATGCCTCTCAATCCGCTTGCAAACAAAAAATACTCCACTCTTTCAGCCCTTCATCTTCGGATGCCAACAAACGTTGCTTCCACCTGGGTGACCTACGCCTCCCACGCCGAGCCTTGGCACTGTTCAGCTCGGAGCGGCTGCCCAGCTTGTTGCCGGGGGAGCTGCCGCAGCCCGGCATGTCGATGGCCTCAGTCGACAGCCAGGACCTGGTGACGCAGGTCCCTTTTTTGGGTGAAGCTCTTCAAGGTTGTGGTACTTTCCCTTTCATGTCCCTTTAAAACCCACAAAAACAGGGGATACCGACGCCCTGAAGTTTTTACACATTGCCTTTTTGGCTCCAAGGTGAGTTTTCCTTATCTAGGGGTGATGCTCTAAGAGAAATTGTAGCGAACCCGCGTGGAGCAGACCGCTCCAACTTCGTGACGTCTGCCATGGCAACAAGTCGGCTAAGCGCCTTTGGGGTTTTGGCCCCTGGAATCAACAGGACTTGATCTGTTTGTTGATTGCAGGTCCTTCAAATCAAGCCTCAGGAGCCAAAAGTCAGACCTATACTTACCCGGTAGTTGCCTACAAGATCTGGCCGCGCGGTAGAGACGACTTCATTTTGTCTCTTTAGGCACCCTGCGAAGCCAACATTGCACCTCCAAACCAGATGCCACAACCCAAAGCACAAACAGAGACAATTCATGCCAAATAGCATCCATGATTGGGAATCCTTTCTGACGAAACATTTGTTGAAACTGGGGGATTTGGGGGGATGACGCGCAGGAACACGTGCATTTGCCTCTGGCGTGGGGTTTTCCATTGCAAGTGAGCAGCAATCGCGCGGAACTTGCTGTACAGCAGTGCTGGGAAGAGCCACCTGGACAAAAGGCTGGACCTGACGGTCCTTTTGTTGAGGGTAGCGTTTGTGGCGGCGTTTCAAGGGAAGCCAAATGGCCCTGCGGTGGCCCAAAGGGAAACTCAAAGCCTGTGAAGAGGTTCTTAGGGTGCTGAGAACCTTTCTATCCTGCAGCCGTTCCAATGCCCCTGAGCTGTTCTGTGAGCTCGCTCACTTCTGCAAAGGACCTGGCAAACCAAGGCTCAGTCTTCATCGGTCATCGGACCTTGACTGAAATGAACCTAACTGGGAAAACCCAAGTTTTTGCCACCTAAAAAACATAAGAGTGTGTTTCCAGTAGGTTCCCCCAAGAACCAGCAGGGGGAATATGACATATTTTCTAAGCAAATGGAAGTACTGGAAAATCCTAAGGCGCCCGAAAGGTCAATTTCGGCCAATGGCAAAGCCCATGCCTCCAGGTCGAGGCGTCGGATGGGCAGCCGTGCAGAAGCAGCACGGCCTCCGGAGCTGAGTGTCCGAAGGGTGACTTCCCAGTAGCCAGGGACGACAAAACTGGGCTGCCCTCAAATCCCCCACTAAGTTTAACTTTTTCTAGGTTAAATGGAAACTACCACTTAAAAAAAGTTATGGGGATGGCTGGGAGCACCAAGAAAAAACCATGGTCAAGCCTGTCCTTGGTGCTCAGGGAATGTGGGAACGATTCCGGGGGTCCCCTGAAAGGAAACCGGGTCATTCCCTCTTTCCCTTCCAGACCAAAAAGTTAAAAAATGCCACTGAACAACTGGGGCTTTGTTCCCTCGCGCGGCATGAGCAACTTTGGCAACGGCAAAGTCAAAAGTCTAACTCCCCTACAATCACAAGTTGGCAAGTGTCCACTGTCACCAGGCTCTCTGCGCGCAAGGCTCTCAGCGCTCAAGGAGCTCCACTCGTGTTCCTTGTGGCGCTCGCATCCGGCTACCTTCCGCTCAAATCTCTCGCCCACTCGCGCGCCTCCCCATCTGCTGGGCCACAGGTGAGCCTCACTTTCCAAAGTACCAGCGTTTGACCTTTCAACCCCTCCACAGAAGGACGCTGATCCAAGAGATGCGAAGTTTAAAAGGGAACCCCTCAAGAAACAAGGTCCCGCTGGTCCAAAGGGCTGCTAATGGAAAAATGCACACTCCAAATCCTTCGATCAACCTAGGAGCACATGGATCTGCCCCTGCGCTGTGTCCAGCATCGTGGACTCCATGACCGAGGCCGCCTGAGTCACTCAGTCGGAGGCTGCCCAAGAACGTTGGATGGCGCTTCAAGGGAAAATCGGCCTGTCGTTTTTTGAGGCTCGGCAGCCCCCAGCCAGAAGGAAACTGCTGGAGTGTCTGTCTCCGCTTGTGGAGCGCTTTTAGAGTGGCTCGGGAAGCCAGAAGGAAACTGACAACTGTTTTGGAGTGTCTGTCTTTTTTGCAGTTGGCACCCGTTTTTTCAAGAGGACAACCACTATGTTGGAGCATTAAAAAAAACAACATCACCCCTGGGTGGGATTTGAAAACGCAAATGATTCGGCCAATTCCGAGGGTTCCATTTCTGTTTCAAAAGAGGGCGATTGCAGTGCGCCATTTGCAGTCACGGCCGTCACATCTTCAACCAAAGGACCGAAAGACTGAAGCGAAACTCCATTTGAAGGGCCCATTTTCCTGGCACCGTGTGAGGGAGGGTGACCTTTTGGAACCTTTGACTGCCAAATGCGAAATCGAAACCAAGAGGTACAATGTTCCATTCGCGTCGGTCAAGTTGAGGTGAAATTTGTTGAGGCGTCAAGTTGTACCCAGACATGCTGTTGCAGTTTTGAGGGTACCCCTTTTGGGAGCTGGGTTTGAAATAGAATTCGAGGGGAAGCACCCCATCTTCGCGGTTGACCCACCCACATTTGTCAAAACGACCCTCTGCCAGGGCAATCTGCGCACTGCCAAGGAAATGCATTGCACATTTGGGAAAGGCTCAAAAACACGTAGCAAAATGGCACCTTGGCAAATGGAACCGAAGACTACAACTTGCGTAACCCTAGTTCTTTCATGTTGAGCCACGCCCATTTCTCAACAATCATCTCCATTCTTCTCCATTCTTTGCCAGACTTAGGACTGCAAAATGCCAACCTGTGGTCCCATGGTGGTTTAATTTTGACCCACAGCCAGTTGAGAGGGAGCATGCAGGAACGCGCCGAGCCACATCCAGCTTCGCCAGGGATGCCCAAGGGCACTCTGGCTCCTCCTCCTTCTCAGGCTCCTGGCAGAACATCTATGTCCTCCAATAAAGAGGTTAGAATAAGGGTACCAACTTTTTTTCTGTAGTCTATTTTAGTAGGGGGAACCCTCCCCCGAAAAAGGGGTTAAAAAGGGCACCTAGCTGGGGGATTCAGACATTGTCCAAACAATGCAGTTGATGCAGAACCGCACCCCGCACAATGCACCAGGCAGCAAACTGAAAGGCTGGATCATGCGATGCAATTTAGGCACCCCTCTCCGTGTTCTTGCATTTCCTTCCGCACGCCCAACCTGCATCTATGCAGGCTCTCCGTGTTCGTGCATTTGCATTGCGCGCAACCTGTGTCCGAACAATGCAGTTGATGCAGCAGCAAGCCTGCCAAAGGCAAGGCTGGATGATGCTGGTGATGCAGTCCAATGTGGGCACCCTTCTTGCATTTCCTTCCGCACGCCCAACCTGCGTCTATGCAGGCTCTCCGTATTCTTGCATTTGCACCGCGCGCAACCTGATGCAGCAGCAAACCTGCCAAAGGGAAGGCTGGATGATGCTGGTGATGCGATGCTATATGGGCAGCCCTGGCTGGGCTGAACCTGCTCCAAAACAATGCAGTTGATGCAGAACCCCAGCAGCAAACCTGCCAAGGGGAAGGCTGGATGATGCCGATGCAATACAAGTGCACCCCTCACCGAGTTGTTTTTTTGCATTCCGAGCTATCTTGGCGGCTCTGGCTCCCTGGCTCCGGGAAGTTGAGGGATGTTTCCTCTTGGAGGGGGGCCTCAACCTGTAACCTTTGACATTCTATCACATCTGCCAGGCCTTTCGATCCAGGATCGACATATTTGACCTGGACCTGCCGCAATCGGCCCTTTTCGCACCTTGCACTTGCTTGCCACTTAGGCGCTTGTGGCCAATGATGCTACACCCAAAATTGCTTTACACATAGAAAGGTGCATATTCGCACGGACACCTCAAAGAAGGCCCCCTAAAGGAAACAACAAGTACCAAATGATGCTTCTGAACCACCCCACAGAAGCACGTAGGCAAGCTGCTGGGTGGCTTAGCCACACGTCACCCTACCAAATGCCTTTGAAGCAAAGCCAAGGGCAACACGCTCCGTTCCGCGCATTCGCTATCTGCGCTTCCGTCAGCACCCCGTACTCCGCGCAAACGCTGCGGTACCACGCTGGGTCGCCATGCCTGGGGCCAAACTCCGCCAAAAAAACACAAAACCACTTCTTGCTCGGTTGAACGGGCAAATGAAGGAAAGCCAAAAAGGCAGAAAGTCCAAAACAAACTCACTGCCCAAAAGGGACTCGCACCGGAACCAAAGGCTAACCTTACGGGACCTTGACGGCTTAAAATGGGTACGGTGAGGAAAGACTGCCCCAAGTCTGGCAATGATGCCAGGAATAATCCATAGTCAGCTCCTCCCCGGCTTGGACATCCCGCAAGGCTCCGAAGGCGTCCATGGTCCTGGCAAGGGCTGATCCAACTTGTTGTTCAGCTCTGTTTGTGGGCTGGGGCTAATGTTGGACAAACTTTGGGGAAAACACACCCGTCACCGTCATAACGAAAACTGTGTGGGGTGGTTGATGGGGGGAGGGGGTTGACAAAAAATCGTTCATCCAACGCGCCAAGGCCCAAAACCTGCCAAAAGCCCCACACAAAAGGCGGCCAAGTGTCGGCTGGGCCGAGTGGTTGGTGAAGCACCCGGCATCTCGGGGGTTCATGTGCAAATGATCCAAGTCCTGGCGCTCGAACCTTCAAACCTTCAAACCTTGCAGCTGGAAATCACTACGACGGGTAGGCATGAGAGTTGTTGAGCCGCCTTGTCTTGTCCCCCTTTTAGGGTCTGGTTGTTGAACTTGGAACAACCCCAGGGTACACCAAACAACATGTGTTCAGATGTCTCGCATTTCGTCAACCTTCAAATTCAAGATATCGGAGAAGGACCAGTTCCACCAGGGTGAACGTAGATGGCACAATTATTCTTATGCGGGTAAAGGGGATGACTTCACAAAAACGGGCTGCGCTTGTGCCATCTACTTTCCCCCAACTGTAAGGATTCATGACCATCTCCACCGCCTCAGGCGTGACAAAGCTCTGGCGCAGCAGCGTGGCCGCGCCCTTGCGGCTCATGGCGGCCAACATGGCCGGCACCTCGCGCTCAATTGCTTTTGTGGTGCCCCATCTTTGGGCTAAGATCTGGGGTCAAATGAGTTCTCTAGCTGGTGCTCAAGAAATCAACAGGGTTGGAAATGAGCCAAGGGACATTCCCTAAGCCACGTGAGCTCCTTCAGTTCGATGAGTTTCACCCCAAAGCCCCAGAAGTTCAATGACAAGCCATTTTTCCCTAAAAACTTTCTTAATCCATTCCCACTAATAGTAAGCACAGTGTAAGTACGGCTCGCCCCCCCCCCACCCCCCAACCCCCACATGATAAATATTATCTTGTCTTGTCGGTCTGATTTAATACATACGCCCCTCCCAAAGTAGGGGTCGAGGGGACCTCCTCTTCGGTCCTCGTCCAAATGGGCCTTTCCCGGACACGAACACCCAAAATCGCAATTGTCTGAGTAACGAACTTAAATAAAAGGTTCAAGGTTGCTCCCTTGCTTTGCCACTAAAAAGTAAAGGGCACTTTAAGTTTGGAATTACAGCTTAAGAAATAAAATCAAGCTAGTAACCAGTAAATATGAACTTATGATTCTAAAACAATGTGCTGGAATACCCCCCAATCAAACCGGTGTCGCGATTGGAGCGAAATGGCAGGTTTGGTTTTGGCTTAGAACTGGCGTATTCTCAAAGTAGCATTCGGGATCTTGGGGGCTGGGAAAACTATATTTTGTCACCTTGGAAAACTGGCGAAACGCCAAGCACAGCTATTTGCATGGTTCAAATACTGATCGTGGAGCCGACTTGCCTCTTGCTATGTCCCTGAGCCTGTTTAAACAAACTCAAGTACGAATGTCATGTACCCGTTTCGGGTAATTTGGGCTTGGGAAGCAGAGGGTGCTACATCATAAATCCAAGCCTGAAATTCAAGGATCCAAGGGACGAGAATAACTAAGCGCGTTTTACCTGCGCGCGTGACATATTGGGCAAATAAAGGACATCCGCATGGGCATGTATGTCCACCAGCCGCTTTGGAGGCCATCATCCCCAGTAAAAAGTCATAGCCATTTGGGCGTGTGTGCCAAAGTAGCGGGACCAAACGGTGGCTTGCCCTTTGGTTTCACCGTAAGCCACCCCGAACAAGGCTCCCACAAAAAACACACACACACACACACACGAATTTGTTGCCAAGCCCTACTCTTCTATCCGGCCTCGTCTTTGTGGACACGCGAAACCAAGTCCGTCCATTCCCAGACCTGCCAGGGGCAGGCCAGCGCCGTATTACCATGGTGTAAACCACACAAGCTTTTAAGCAATCCTTTTGGCTTTGAAGGAAACCAGCATGTTTTTCCGGACCTTCGGACTTGGGGGGGGGGTGGTTCTAGCAGCTAGGCCCCCACTCAACCCCAACCAACCAAGCTTTAAGGCGTTTCCCTTAGCCAAGCGTTCCCAGACCTTCTGCCCCTTCCGGATCGGCGCCGTGGCAAAAACCCCGCAGTGGCCCTCGCCATACTGCGGGGCCGCCCGCACTTCGACGGGCACAATGAAGGCAGGGACCATGGCGCCGGACAAGCCAACAAATCACTAAGTCAGCCACCAAGCATTCGTTTGAAGAAAAAACAAACCCTTGCTGAATGTATTCAATATACTTAGAATGATGCAAGTCATGATTCAGTATTCGTGTTGGTTGCCAAAGTCAGCCACGGGTACTTCATGTGCATTGTCAAAGCCAGCCCCTGACAAGTGGGGCGCGCCACCCATTTGCCATTGGAAGGCATGTCAAGTCCTTCAAGGAAATTCCCCTCCCGTTTCTGACATTGATTGCCCCTAGGAACCGTCACAAGAAATCCATGCGCATAGAACTTTTTGGCCAAACAGCCCTGTCTATGAGCCATGTGGGCCGTTCCTTCGCGCGTCTTCCTTGAGCTGCCCATTGGCATCCGCTTTTGCACAGCGGAACGGTAGGTGTGACGTATGGACGTTGCAAGCAAACAAGTCACTCACTCTTAGAGGAGTCCGCTTTTAGGGGGGGCCCTGTTTCTGAGTCCCATGACATTTTGCTGGGGGATGTGGGGTATTTCACGGCCAGGTAGGTGTGTCGCTCTTTTGGGAGGAGTTGGCACTAGTTTGGGGCCACAGTTGAATCGGCTGGGCTTCAGGGGAACCAACAGGAACCCCCCACCTGGCGACTCCCATTAGATTCTTCAGCCGCCTTGAGATCTACAACGATCTCTGTTTTGCACGCGGCCAACATGCATCCTTCAAAAAACAACTTGGCTTCGTTGCCTTCTTTAAAAACAAGTCACCCCCAAAGGCCGCTTGTCGGCGGCATCCGTCACTAGCATGGGGCATGCCCAACCCGTCCGCGTCCTTGGGCTTGGTCTCCCAGGGCCTCGGCTTCTTCACGGAGTTCACGAAGACCTGGCCAACCCGGCCATATGTGTCTTAAAGTGCGTGGTCCCTATGGCTTCCCTTTAAACCAACATGTTGTTCAAGAAAAAGGAAAAAACATGGAAGCCAACAAGCACCAGGAACCCACCATTTTTGGGTCTGAAGAATCCGAAACAACCAAACCAAAAGTGAAGCAAATGGGTATTTGTTTATTGGAGGCTCGCAGCCCGGTTTGGGTTATCTCCACCATCTCTGAATCCTGGAACTCGAGTTTTACGATCCATGGTCGTTGTGAACTGCAAACGGAACGGTTCCGGAGCTGGAACCAGCTGATCGCTTATGTGAAATAAGTATCTGTTGAATAAATGTTGACCAACTTGAAGGCGCAGTGAACTCAGTCAGTGTTTCGCCCTGGCTTTGTAGCTGACATTTCGGGTCATTGGGGCGGTCCGCTCTCTCCCTATCAGCTTGCCCGGTTTGCAGGTGGGTATCGTCCCCGAAGACCTGCAGTAGAATTGTCTCGAAACGATGGGAAGAATTCTCACCAAATCCACCCCTCCCAAATGGGTGGCAAACTGCTGGATATGTTGCCAAAACTTCATGTGATCACTTGCCACAGGAAGAAGCACAATGGCAACCTTTGATTAACCGCTATTTGGATGGGGTCTTGTCGGCTTGATGTTTCTCACATGTTCCAGTTGTTCCGTAGTGGGGGATCAATCGCCTCAAGGAAACACAGGATCTTTGGGAGGGGGTTGTTCATACCATGTGGGCATTGCCCGGGGGGGAGAGAAACAAAAACAAAAGGAAAAACAAAACAAAAACAAAGAACGGCAACTGCCGAAGCCGAAGCCAAAACCGAGGCCCTGTCCCCGTTGGAAACATGACGTGCACAGCCACTTAAGTTGGGCCCTTCGTGCACCATGAATCCAGCAGCTCTGGCCTGGGCACATCGCTTCGGGGGCCCTCAACGGGGGATCGCACCAAAAAAATTTGGGCAGCTTGCCTTTTGGCGGCTCAGCTTCCGGCACATGGGCCGTGTGGCGGTTTTGTATCTGCCTGAAGCTTCCTAAAACCCAAGCCCGTCTCCACGAAATTACCTGGTTTGGGACTCTCTTCTTACATCCCCAGGGCCAATTTTGCTCGGCATGCGATTTAACCAACAAGTAAAAAAAACGGATTCAAAACAAACATCTCCAATTGCAACATTCCTGGCTGATCAATAGAGATGCACCCTTTCCCTAAATCTAACTTCCACCAAAGGAGAGTACTCTTCGTCATTTACCCCACGACCCCAGTTTGATTTCGCCATGGACCAAGCCCTGGATTTCTTTGTTGGGTTCCGTTCCCCCACCCCACCCCCACCCCCACCCCACCTCCACCCGACCCCACCCCACCCCGCCAACCCCACCCCACCCCGCCTCCCCCTTGATGCGTCGGCAGCTGGAGGCGAAGTTCAAAGTGCCCTCCGTCTCCGAGGAGTGCCTCCGGGGGGAAGCCGCCGTCAGCGCCAAGCACCGGGAAGGCCCTTTGCTTCACTGGTCGGTTTGCTTTTTGCTTGCTTTTTGCTTGCTTTTGGGTCTGCTCTTGGGCTGGTTTCCTTTTGCCCTGGTCTTCTTTTTGGCTTCCTTGTTTGCCCTGTGATTCCCCGGCTCCTGTTCTTTTGGATGCCACACCACATCTAGCTTTGCATCTCCCAATGTGGGCTTTCATCTCCTGAACCTTGTCCACTTCACACACCCAGTTAAACTAGAGCGCGGGATGTGCGGAGGAATGCGGCGCAAGCCCTGGCTCCCAACATGTTGCCCTTGTATACTGTCTATCTACCCAGATCTGCACGTGAAAGGCTCTGAGCAAGCTCCAGACCAAGAAAATGATGTGACAAGCAAATATCCAGGTTGAATGGGGGACAGGTTCAATTGAATCACAGAAGTGATTGCAAGAACACTCTTGTGAATCCCACAACCCTGTTCAACAGTTGACAAACCCAACCTCATCCACTTAAACAAGGTTCCCGAAACTCTCCCAATCGTAGAAACGAGGCCCTCTCTCTGACCTGAAAAGGGGTTTAAAATTGGATGTGGTTGATTTGTTGGGGAGGCCCGCAACCTCCTTGTGGTGTTTGACCAAGTGGATCTCCAAAGAGCCTCTGGGCCGGAGAGATGGTGGCGACCAATGTGGTGCAGCAGTTGCCCCCGAGCGCCGGCCGCAGCCTGAGTATGAGGCGCCGGCGGGAAAGACATGGCTTGAAATACCCAACCAACAAACATGAACTGGTGAACCGTTGACCCTTTTGCAAGAGGGCTCTTTTGCAAAAAGGCCCTGCGCACTTCCATGTTTGCTGTTGTTGGGGGGGGGGGAGAATTCCTGGTTGGGGTTGCAGGATGCTCTTTTGGATGTTTTTAGCCACCCGACCACCCTCCCGCACCTTTTTGCTGAATGTTGGCTGAGCTGTGGGTGCACTGCTCGTTGAGCGCCATGCCAGCTTCTCGTGCCATTGCCCGTGCATAACTCAAAAAAGGAGAGGCAAGTAGTGCCTGGACAAAGAAACGTGATCACCCTTCGTGACAAATTGACAGACCTCCAAGGAAGAGCAGTTGGAATGCAAAAAGCCTTTACTCACAGATATATGCATCCACATTCTGGATTAAGGTAGATGGATTTGAATGCGAACTGCCTAGCTTAACAGCCCCCAAAATTCTGGGGCTCAGCTGGAGCGAGTCGGCAATGCCACTTAGCGACAGCTGCGTCAGTGGGTCGTTCCGGTAGGGGATGTGCGGCTTGCCGTCCGCCAGCGCCGCCACGACGCCCTGCAGGGCGAAGAGGGACTTGTTGATGTGCACCGCCTCTGTGAATCGATCGCCTGCGAAGGGCAATTGCAGGTGAGCGGGTCCATCGGAGTTCCAGGTTGCCATTTCCAGAAGGAAGGAACCTCAAAAGGAACCTTCATCACCCATGGCGTGGTCAGCCAGGGCTCGGGGACCTGAATCACCTGCCAATGCGGGTCTTGGTAAAACTAAGGTCCTGAAACACTCGAAACGCACCGAATTCCAGATGAGTTGTGCGGCATGTGCCCTGCAGGGACCCTGTTTACCAAATGTTCACCACTGACCACAAAACGGACCTGGGAAACAATCATTAATTGTGAAGACAACTACAGCTACAAACGAAAAGTGAGATTTCCCGGCAAAGGCCAACCATCCTATTGGCGAAGCACTGAAGTACGTGCAGGTGGGCAAGATGTTTGGGGCCGGTGGAAAGACAGTTGGCTGTGGGTCCCTAGTAAATCTAAGCATGGACTAAAAGCTACAGTCCCTTGATGGATGAATATTGGCCCATAACCATTCGTTGAGGTGGTTGAAAAGAGAATGCAAAGGACAACCTTGCCCCTCCTCTGGACACACTACATGAATCAGCATGCGGGTGATGGGCCAAAAATGCGGTTGCCCTACAGGACTGGAAGATTGGGTTTATCCTCTGGTCAAGGTGAGTTCCCCCCTCCTTTGTCCCTCCTGGTGTGGTCATAGTCATAGTCTACTGATATGTTGACCAAACCTCATGGTAAAACTATGCCATCGCTCCACGGCCTTGTGCAAAGCATGCACAAGGGATCACGCAAAACTCGAAGCAATATGGCGCGCCAAAATTCTGACATCAGCATAGCGCTCATTTTGTTCAATCCTTTGGTTGTTGGAGTACCTCCAATCCAAATAGCTACGCATCTCCCAAACTGCCCGCCGGCCTACGGCGCAGGAGTCTTTGACCCGCTCAGACCCGGCGAGGTCCACGAGGTAAAGCTTCGCCTCTGTTGCCTCCTCGTCCTTGCCGCCTACGGGACGACCAGGTGTGCGTCATCGTGCTGTTCCAAGGACTGGCAAATGAAAACGGTGTTCCAAGAAATGGAGATAAAGTCCGTTTCCAACAGTCTTCCAGATTCCGCTGGCAAATACACACGCTAAACGCGGTTTTAGGAGGGGTGGAACGGATCGGACAGGCCTAGGTGTACTTGGATGTCTGCGTGTCGCTCCATCGGAGTTGGGAAACCTGCTTTGTTTGAGGGTGGTTCAACGGAAGCAGAAGGGAAGCCACCTGTTCTAGGGGTTCCTTCATGAGACAAACTAGTGTGTGGAAGATGGACAGGTTCCACTCGCAAATGATTCAACTGATTGGACCAAACTGCTTTGCAGGTGGAAGTTATCTATTTTCATGCAAACTGGTCCAGGTCCGGTGTTTTCTGAGGTAAAGCCACGGAAGTAAGTGATCAGCCGGGTGGTGTGCTGAAGACATTGGAACCTATTAGGTGGGTAAGAACTGGCCAAGCACCTGCCCCCTTCTTTCGATTCGGCCACTCCGCGGCGTAAGCACAGGCGCCAGCAGACATTTCAGCATGCAGTCATGTGAGGTCTCAACATAGAGAAACAAGATTCACATGTGTCTCTGAGAAAAGCAAGAAACAAACAAATCGAGCTGAGAGTCACCCACCCACCAAGGGTGCCTTGCCACAAGGTGACGTTGAGAATGAGGATCGCGTGCGAGCGGCTGCTGTGGGCATTCAGCGCGGTGCAGGCCTGCTGCCGCCTGACGACCCGAGTGGGGAGGTCGGCGGGAGAGGTTGCATAACCCCGGGGGCCACGTTTAGAGCTTGGCATGCTGCGCGTATGGGAGAACAGGGGTAGGGCCCGGCCTCTCTGAAGCCATTGGAACACAATTTTTGGAGAGGCTCGCTGGTGGTTGAAAACAGGTCCGCAGACAAGCACAAAGGCGGCCCTAAGTCCAACCTGAGCAAGTTGTATGTACGCATTCACTGACTCACCCATTTTCCTCAAATAACACATGTAGTTGATGTAGCTATATCTATATCTGTAAATACGTGTGATAGATATGTAAGAAAACAAGGGCTCTGATTCTTGCCTCTGGTTGCCCTCGTCAATGAGCGCCGCTACATCATCCATGGACTCCACCGGGCGCTCGCTCAAGCCTCAGAACCCCCGAACGCAGCCCACCCGAGCGCAAGGGACATGACTTCAACAGTTCTTGGAGCTCCAAGTGATGTCCATATGCAAACAGTATGCACGTGCACAGAACAAATCGTGCTTCCCAAAGCAGAGAGCGGCCCGCCATGGGGCTTCCCCGAAATGATACCCCTGGAAGTGTTGGATCAGACCCCTTCTTTGAGCCACTGGCTTTGGGCCAACACGCATCACATTTCCGCGGGTCCGCCCTTCGCCCAATTCCCCGCCGACTTCCGGCGGCCATGAGAAAGCGCATGTCCGCGTTGATTTTCGATGGACAACTCGTGCCGGAACGAGGAAAAAGCGAATTGCGCCGGAGGCCAAGAAGCCTTCAACTTTGGTGTCGACACCATCCTCCTCCACCACCTCTCTCAGCTTCAGCTTCTTCTCGTGGCCATTTGGCACCTCACATCTACACTCCTGCAAATTCACATAAAATTCCAAGCTCGACCATCATGCGCAACCTTTACAAAGCGAAGAAGCTGCAGCTTCTCCTTCGCCCACAAAATGTAAGACATCCACTTCAGCTTTTGCCGGCACCCCCAAATGCTCCGGGTAGGTCGGCTTCCTTCAAATGCCCAGGCCAAAGGATTCGCTCCCAAGTCCTGATACTTGCCTCCGAAGGCACCCTGCGTTGCCCCCCCCCCACCCCCAAAAGCAGCAAAACACGTAGAAGATCCGTCCCCCCCCCTCGCCCCCTGTCCAAACGAACCCTCCACCCCAAAGGAAGGCGCAAGGAGGTCGGTGATGTGGTTCAGATAGAGCTGCAGGAAGGACGCCTGCACCTCGATCTGGGAGCCCTGCAGCCCGGCCTCTGAGAAGAGGTGCCCCGCCGCTTTCAGGCACAGCCCCGGCCGCGTCTTGTCCTCGGCCCGGGCGTACCCCGCCCGCCGAAAGAACCGGACAAACTCAGGACCTTGAGGTTTTACATGGGACAAATGAAAGGTCACAAATTCGTGAAAAGGTTGGGCTTGGGAAAGTGTCCAACCATGGAAATCTCGCGGGAACGTCAAGAAACAATCATCTACCTCCTTGACCCCCCTTCCCAACGCTTTCTCCCAGATTTCCCCCCCCTCCCCAGCCACGGGATTGTGCTCAACCCCCCAATCCCTCAACCCCACCAACCCCCTCGACACCAATCCCCCCGCTTAGGGCTCCGACCCCCACCATGGTGTGGGTCTTCCCGGTGGAGGTCTGGCCGTAGGCCATGATGGCCGCGTTCAACCCCAGCAGCACCCCATCCACCGCTTCTTGGCCCACCACCGCGAAGGCTTCCTGAAGCAGACGTCGGGAGGGAGAGGGCTATGGACACCCCATCTTTCTTCGGCTACCCATCTAAGTACTCCACAACCCCCCTGCCATTCAGGCCCCATTTTTCACTCTTAACTATGAGCCACACCAAGCTCCGGCCGTTACTGGTTGGACATGGGGCTCGTGGCCTGTCAGCATTGGGTGTCAATCTCTCGGCTTTCTCCCGGCCTCTTGTGAGCTGTCCTGGTCGATGAGCCCATCGAAGCCCGGGTACACCTTGCGTCCACGACTTCCACGTCTGAAATGACAAAATTGGGTTGGGTTGACATCTCTTCCCAATCCCGGGGCGAGGGCCTATCCGCCCCATTTGCAACCCGTACGAAACATCGTCCAAGGAGCTTCTTCTTTTTTTTTGGACTGCAGAAAGCAGTCCAAACCCATCACGTGTCCGGTGCCCAAACCGAAACCGAAGCCGCCAGGCAAATCCGGGGGCTCCCAATCCAACGCGGCCAAACGCTGCATGAATTTGGAAAGGCTCTTGGAAACTTCCACGTGGTTCAAAGAGAGAGCCTTCTAATCGCAGACATGAAAGACATTGAATGGCTTGCGTCCGCTCCCAAGTCCTCAAATTTCATCGTAAGCATGTGTCACCCGCCTTGATGCCGTCCGGGACCGGGTCGTCCTTGCTGCCAATGAGCACCGGCTTATCCTCCAAGGGTCAGGAGGTGACGAACGATGCGCAAATCCTTAATGCCGACTGTCTGGCGTCGGATTCCTCTTGTTTTCTTCGGAACTCATAGCTGATGTGGGGCTTTCGTTTTGTCAGTCTTTTCCCTCTTGAGAGCACCGCATTTGACTCAGCCGACACGTCAGCTGCAAGCGTCAAAGCAGAATGCTCCTCGGTGCTGAGGTAGACACGCTCATGTGCCAAAGCCACGCAGCCGTGATAGCAGCCTTGCCGAAGATTGGATCGATCTGTTGCACGTGAAGACTGGAGTAGGTACCCCTGATACTCTGGGCCCTGGATTCATACGCTCATGACCAATTTCCATCCCTGTGCATATGCATAAGAATTTATGTATATATACATACAGACATGTCCATCACACACATAGCATATCAGAGGCACCTCTCCCAGGGGTCCAATACCCCAAAAACGGGGGGTTTCGCCCTTGCAGCTCCAAGCATAACTTCCATAGCTTTCCAGAGCACGTGGGTCCAGCTAGGGGTGATCAGGAACCCCCCCCTTGGCGGCCTAGGGCCAGGATCAAACCGGATTGCAGATTTCCAATCAGAGCACGTGCGCGCACACAAGTATCACTACATGTGTCCATGCGTCTGTTGTACACATCTTAATGCACTGAAACACCAGCTCAAACCGACATACACGTGTTCCGTCTCTACAGTTGTTGTAGCTGCAAACACACAATCATGACTACATATGTGTACATATTTGTACACATGCATTTGATACACAGTTCCAACATCCCAAATACGGGATTCCCAAGTCAATACGTCAATGATCAAACAACCCAGGCGAGCTCGCTTTACCCCATGAAACTGGACGAAACCTGAAAAACAAAAAAGGGAGACAGCTGGGAACCCTTTGGACATAGGCAGAACGCTGCCCGTGCCACGGAGCCATGCTCCACCTCGCGCTCGAGCACCGGCCTCACGCGGACCTCACGTCCACCAGTCTGGATGATGCCCATCAAATGAACCCCCGAAGTGACCCCTAGTTTAGTGTAGTTTATCCTCCTGGGTTTGCAAAAGCACTGTGCTGCATCCACCACCATCCGAACCAAGAGAGGGCTGGGACCCTAAAAAGACTTGGTTTCTTGCTGCTCCCCTGCTAGAAGCTTAACTTTTAGGAACTTTTCATGGAAACCCCATTGGTTGGCAAAAGGTTAAAGTCCTAACATCCAAGCAAAATGCACCAATGTATATATGCCAATGGTGTGAGCCCCCGGTGTGAACCCTAGTTTATGAGTTAAGTAACCTCTAGTTATGGCTTAATTGTGGGAAATCAGCCCGCAAAGGGTCCAAAATTCAAGTATGACAACACACTCATTCAAATGGGTATGGGTCGCAAAATACACACCAGGAACTGGCCCGCAGATTTTCGTCCATCTTTCCATTTGTATATACGGCCAAGCCATTTGGGTTACCTATGTTTGACCCACATCCGAGTAGCAACCGCCAGAACAGTGAGGAAAGACCCGCAACAATCGAACAAGCAAAGCATCACCCCACGGGTTCAACAGGGCAATATGGGCTTGTCTTCCTTTTGAAAAGCGACCCCAAAAAGGGTACCCTCCAAAACAAACTCACCAATATGTTGGCTCCGCCAGAACCCCAGGGTTCAGGTCTGCATGCTTGCCCGAGGCGCGCAAACCTTCACCGGTCGCTTCAGGCCCTTGGGCGGCGGTGCAGACGTGGCCCGCGCGCGCGACATTTGCTCGGACTTGCTCGGCCTGTCTCTTGCAGAGGGCTCCAACCTGAAGCCAAGCGGTGGCTGTGGCTCAACAAAGCGGTGCCCCCCGGCGCCATTGAATCTAAGTCCTTCCATGTGCAACCGCATAGTCCACATGGTGCCAAAATGGGTTGCCCTGGTAAGTGGAAACACGGACCAACACCCGCGTTTTGCCCCTGTTTGATTTTGAGGCACAACCTGCTGGGACGGGCGATCTCCATAGAGTCGCAGGCCATCCCATCACCCCCGAGTTCGGGCGTGTGAGGTGTTGGTTGGCGGCGGCGGGTTTGGTCAAATCTGGGGCCCCGCTCATCTTCCCCGAACGAACCATAGACTATCATGTTGCCCAAGTTGCAAATGCAGGGCATCTACCCATGTGGGCTTCTCGTTTTTCTCCGGGCGACTAGGGTGGCATGCCCCCTTTGCGTCGAAGGGCACTGGATGCTGGACCGGCAACCTCTGGAATCGCAAGGAATCAACTCCTGATCTATTGAGTGGTTCATGGGTTGTCTTTTTGAGTGGCGGGATCACTGACATTGACGACGTGTCCTTTTTCCAGTTCTTGCTCGCACACGAAAGGGAGACGTCGATTTGGAAATCACTTGTCTTCAGCTTCCTTGGGTTCCTCTTCTTTGGCGGCCTTCTCTTCTTCCTCCTGGTGCTATCGGGGGGGCGAGCCTGGAAAAACACACAAATCATCTAGCCCCGCGCCGAAACAGATTATGCGAAAAGAGGAGAATCTGGTGGGCCGTCCTTCTTTGCAGCTTCTTCTTCCGCCATCTTCTTGCGGTACTCTTTGGTCATGTCCTTGATCGCAAGCTTCATGCGCTCTCCCTCGTCCTGCGAAAAGCGGCTCCAGGAGGGAGGTTTCGGTTCAAGCAGTCCACTCTTGTCCACCCCCCCCCCCCACAAACAAAAAGAAAGAAACAAACAGAAAAAACTTGCTTCCAAACGAAGCTGCATCGTTGTGGTTTGTTTCGCTCGGTTTCGCTCGATTTCCCTCGCTGAACCGCGCCCCCCCCCCCCCTCCCGCTTGCAATGGACTTGCAGGCCCCAAACACTTAGAAACACACGATATCTTCAAGAATAGCAGTTGTTGTGAAATGTTGTGAACCTCAACCCCCCCCCCCACCCCACCCCGCTCACAAAGACGACGCTTGCATACCCTCAAAAACCCCAAGATCTCTGAAGGCGCTTGCAACACGCCCCAAATACCCCCCGCCCCCCACTGTCCACCAGACCCCTGAGATCTCCTCCTCGAAGTCCTTCATCTTGGGATGCCGCAGTGCCAAAGAGCTGCGGCAACTGCCTTGGCGCAAGCTCAAGGCTTGGGTCTGGTCTGTTTTTGAGCGGTCCCCATTTTTTGGTGGTTGTAAAAACGGACTGCTGGCACTGCACTTCATGGTTAGCGTTCTCATACACTCACTTGCCCAGCATGGACCTGGAAATGCCAGATTCAGCTGTTGGAACCTTGACTAAACATCGACCATGGGGAAAACCAAAAGGTCAGATCCAGTCGATTTCGATTTGCTTTGGGCCAGCGAGTGCAGGACATAATACCATCTACTCTCACGCCTTCCCTGTTTTCCAGTGTCAAAGCCATGCCCCCGAATTCCTTGATGCCAACTTTGCATATCTCCATTGAACAGCCGGGTAACTATGGGTAACTCACACGAAGCCGCAACATAAAGGCTTTCAAATATCTGAGGTGTACCTACCAACTTATCAACTCGGAAAAAAAAGGGGGGACATGACCCCCGGCCTATGAACTCCATGACGTCGCCCGGCTTCCACTTGAACTTCTCGTCTCTGAGCTTCTCTGTGCCACCGCAGGGCAGGGGGTCCTCATCCGGCACCTTCCTTAGAAACCCACTGATAGGATCAAAGGAGTGATAACGCCCTTGATCGATCCTGTGGCTTGATGCCATCCACCACCTAGGAAATGTTAGAAGGAACACCAACAAACAATGGCTTCTCATGGTTTCACTGCAGGATTTCGTCCATCCACAGAACCTAAATTTGGCTATGATGTTTAAGACGGGGCCATCTCAAAAAGCGGTTTGGTGGAGATAACTCCCGACACTTCGTCCAAAGCTTTGGTCTACCCTTGGGTAAACCTGGGCGGCTTCTCTGTGCCAAGGACCATCCCCTTAAACCAAACCCAGCAGGCCACGGGGTGGCCCAGCTTTCGGCCCAGCCTTGCCGGCAAGCCAACAAAAACATCCGCATCAGTGGCTCGGGTTGGCGGCTTAACCCTTGTAGAGGGTAAATGGGAACGCCTAAATCACCAATCCAAGCCGCCAATTAGAGAGAAGCGGATTCCTTGTGCTTCCTGCTGAACATTCTATGAAACATGTCCTTCAAAAACGCCTGTCAAGCCAAGCTTCTTGTCAGGGCCCGGCGGGGGACAAAGCTCCCACACGGCCTTCGTCTTGCGCTTCAGGCTGTTCCGCCGCTCGATCTTGTCCTCAGATCGATCTCGGCTTTGGACATCAAGAGGGCGCTGAAAAAAGGCAACTGAAAAAAGTTTGGTGCCATTTGAGTTGGGCGACACCACCCATGCGGTAAGAAAACCCAAGCTCGCACGCCCTGGTCCAACATCCAGCCGGTTTCAGACTGGATCTGGGCACATTTGAAATAAGGGAATCCCACCAGCAAGATGCCTTCATCGTAGGTGTGCCCGTCTCACCCTGAGGTGAGCTCGCTATAGCCCCAAATTGATGAACATCAGACAGTGCCGCCGGGACAAGCCATCGGATTGCATGTCCCATCTGTAGGCGGCATTAGGCGGCCTTTGGCAAAATCGTGAATAGCCCGCCACAGGAATCACAATCAAAACAAACCATGGTGGATATCTATCAATCTGTGTGTGCGTCTGTGATTGTGTGTTTCTCTGTTCTCTCTGTATTTCTCTCTGTGTTTCTCTCTGTGCTTCTCTCTGTGCTTCTCTCTGTGTTTCTCTCTGTGTTTCTCTCTGTGCTTCTCTCTGTGCTTCTCTCTGTGTTTCTCTCTGTGCTTCTCTCTGTGTTTCTCTCTGTGTTTCTTTCTGTGCTTCTCTCTGTCTTTCTCTCTGTGTTTCTCTCCCGCTCTCTCTCTCTCTCTCTCACTCTCTCTCTCTCTCTCTCTGTATGCGTGTGTGTGTGTGTGACTGCCTGTGTTTCTCTTCGTGTGTGTTTCTCTGTGTGCGTGTTCTGTGTTCTGTGTCCTGTGTTCTCTGTGTTCTGTGTTCTCTGTGCTCTGTGTTCTCTGTGTTCTCTGTGTTCTCTGCGTTCTCTGTGTTCTCTGTGTTCTCTGTCTTCTGTGTTCTGTGTGCCGTGAATTGCGTGTCTGTGTGTGTGTGTGTGTCTGTTGTGAGTGTGTGTGTGTTGTGTGTGTGTGCTTCTGTGTGTGCGTGTGTGTTTGTTTGTTTTGTGTGTGTGTGTGTTGTGTGTGTGTTGTGTGTGTGAGTTGTGCGTGGTGTGTTGTGTGTGTGTTGTGTGTGTGTGTTGTGTGTGTGTTGTGTTGTGTGTGTGTGTGTGTGTGCGTTGTGTGTTGTGTGTGTGTGTGTGTCATGTGTCGTGTGTCGTGTGTCGTGCGTCGTGAATTGTGTGGTGTGTGTGTGTGTGTGAGTTGTGTGTGGTCTGTGTGTGTGTTGTGTGTGGTGTGTGTGTGTGTGTTGTGTGTTGTGTGTTGTGTGTTGTGTGTGTGTGTGCCGTGTGTCGTGTGTCGTGTGTCGTGGTGTGTCGTGAATTGTGTGTTTGTTGTGTGTTGTTTGTTGTTTGTGTGCGTGTGTGTTTGTGCTTGTGCATGTGTTTGTTCGTGTTGAATAGGTTGCTTCTTGATTTGTGTGTTTGTTTGTTTGGCTGTTTGTTTGCTTGCTTGTCTTTTTTTTTTATTTGTGTCTTGGTGCGTGTCTGTGCTTGCTTATGTGTTTGCTTGATTGATTGATTCTTGTTTTGGTGTGTTATGTTGTTTTGTTTGTTTGCTTGGTAGCTTGGTTGATTGTTTGTTTGGTTGTTTGTTGTTTTGTTTTGTTGTTTTGATTGCTTGCTTGCTTGCTTGCTTGCTTTTTTATTTCTTTCTTTCTTTCTTTCTTTCTTTCTTTCTTTCTTTCTTTCTTTCTTTCTTTCTTTCTTTCTTTCTTTCTTTCTTTCTTTCTTTCTTTCTTTCTTTCTTTCTTCCTCTCATTCTTTGTTTGTTTGTTTGTTTGTTTGTTTGTGGGTGTGCTTGTGTGTTTGTGTTTATGTTTCTGATTGCTTGTTTGTTTGTTTGTATGTTTGTATGTGTTTGATTGTTGTTTGGTGTCTGTGTGTGTGTGCGCTCGTGTTTCTGTGTGTGTGTGTGTGTGTGGGTGACTGTGTTCGTTTGTGTGCTTGCGTGCATATGTGTGTGTGTGTGTGTGTCTGTTTGTGTGTGTTTGTCTTTGGATGTTTGTGTGTGTGCGTGCGTGTGTTTGTGTGTTTATTTATTTGGGTTCGGGTGGTGTGTGTTTGTGTGTGTGTTTGTGTGCGTGTTGATTGTGGGAGTTGTGGCAGTCTCGATTCAGGCCATTCCTGGCCCCATGCGCACCTCCATGCCCGCATAATCAGGTCGAACCCAATAGCAAAATGAAAAAGGCCCTCGTTGATTGGCAGGGTGGGTTCAAGGATGCGTCTCTCTCTCTCTCTCTCTCTGCCGTGGCGTCCAGAGGGTCTTGACTCAGCAAGGGAACGAACAAGGTGCCCACGGATGCTCGGGGGCACCAACAACATACTAGGACAACCCGGGCAGACATCAAGTAGGAGCCAGAAGGATTCCACCTCGGCCTACCTTCATCCTCAGCCTCCAGGCATCCGGACACAATGAGACTTCAACGACAACGCATCTTCGAGCAACCTCCGCATGCTGTACAGGGCACGCATCAGAAAGAGACATGCAGAACGACAGCAAGATTCGCACACGACAGAACAACCTAAACCAAAACAAGCCAATATAAAACCAACACAGAGGCAGGGAGGACCGAAGAGGGCTGAAAAGGGCCGATACTAAACCACACGAAAGCCAATACTGAACCAGTACTCAGGCAGCAAAAAAATACTCAACCAATGCAAAGCAGCACTAAGGCAGCACTAAGCAATACTAGACCAATACTAGAGCCGATGCCAATCCAATGGACAAATTGAAGGAAGCAAACCTGACTCCTGAATTGGTTTAGGGGCCTTCTCCATTGGGTTTCCTCAAGTTGTTTCGGGGGGTTGGGGGGGTTATTATATTCAGTAGCGGCAAGATTGGTCGGAGATCGCAGCAAGCTGTTCCCTTGACCAATCCAGGACAGATGTTCTAAGAAGCTGAGGGTGCGCACCCTTGTTTGGCTGGTATATGGCCAAAAGGGCTTGCTTCGGTGAAGGGGGTGTTTTTCATGTACTCGGTCTACCAGGCTTACCCCGAATTTGCCTTTAGACGCGATACAGACAGCTAAAAACGGGAACAGGCAGGAACCGGTTCCCTGCAAATTTCAGTGCAATCCCCAGCCATGTACGGCTTCTAGCGTTTCCAGGGCAAATCGGCAAAGCAATGGGGCGGCCCTGGCTACATTGGAACCCGCCTCGCTGAAGCAAGTGGGTACGTGTCAAAATAGGGTGACCCAACAAATTGCGGTTTTACTTTGAATCTCCCCTCGAAAAAACACACACACACAGACTCAACGGCCCAAGTGCGTTCCCAGGGTCCGGGTACTGTGCTAGGCACGCCTCCATCTCCTCCTCACCACGCTTGACCTTCACCTGCGGTTTGCCGCGCACGGCCAGGATCCCTCTGGCTGTCTCGTTCCCAGGTGCGGGCGAACAACAAGCCAGGGTTTGGCTCCTTCGAAGCAGTGGATCCCCTCTTTAAATCCAGGGCACCTGTTTACACAAGATCTCCGTTCTACGCAAGTGGTCCCTTGAACGATACGTACAACAGCCCCACCTGCTAAACAAAGCATCCCCTAAAGGTGTCTCTTGCCTGGCCCCAAGGAATTCCGTATCGGACCTTGGGCGAGGGAGAGCCATGAGAAGGTCAGAGCCGCGAGTCTTTCCTTGATGGGCAGTAGTCCGTTGGCTAGGTTGGCATCATTGGCATCTCTCAGTTGGGCATCGTTGAGGGCTTCCTTGCAAAAGGTGCCCCTGCCAGATGACTCAGACCTTTCTGGGAGGTCTGACGGACGTTGAAAAAAGCGCGCATGCATCAAGCAAAGCTGCACTATTGCTTAAGCACCACTTAAACACAGTCTCCATGCGTAAACACTGCCCAACAAGCCCCAAAAGGCGACTTTCATTTGCCCATTCCTCATCTTGGGCCCCAAAACTTAGATGACCGTCCCACTTGTGCATATACCAACCCAACTTGGTGCTTCCCCGAAAATATTTTCCGGGCTTACCCTACAAAGGGACTTCCTTACCGACGGCTCACTCGCTCCGACGTCACGTCGGATGTCCGCCGCCCGCCACAGCCTTCACCCCGCTCTTCGCGAGCTTGGCGATGTCCTCCAGCGATTCGGGCGATTCAACTGGCCTAAACGGTCAAAACAAGCATCTGGGAGTCTATGCAAATAGGGGACCCCCAGAAATAGTGGCGTTCCTTTGTCAGTTTCCCTATACCACAAAACGTGGTGCCTCCAAAAAGGATATTCTCATCCAGTTTCTCCAAATGGGACTCAGACGGAAAACGGATCGATTTCTATTTTGAGAAACGCACTTTTTGAAGTCCCCTTCAAGAGGAGCAAATGCTAGCTCTCTAATCGGAACCCCGAAAAAATATACCCATCCGACGGGGGGGGTCACCAAAAGCGATTTGTCTCCCACAAAGGGACAGCCCCCAATTAAAAACAACCAAGCGTTCTGCGTCATCCGGGGTTCCCGTGAAACAACATTTGCAACCAGCTCCTCCGGCAACTTGGCGTACCAAAAGCTGTCCGTTGTGATGGACTGCGCCTGCCCGGTGGCTCTTTCTTTGTGTCAGGTAGTAAGGTAGGTGTGTGAGGTGGATTCAAGTGGACTCATTAGTTAATTTTGAGGAGGTTGGTTTGAAGGGTGGGGAAATCCACCTTTCTTGTGGTACCCTTTGAGACATACCCATTGGAACAGCGGCGGGCCTGGTCTGTGCCAAGAGCAACTGAATGGGCTCCATACTGCTCGTGGACATATCTCGCCGACGCGGGCAACGGCTGACGACAAGGGCCTGAATAGTTCAACTGCGACAATAAAATAATCAAGGAGTTAGTTCATTCAGGGTCACTGGATCCCCCTTCGATTTCCCCTTCTAAGAAATAGAGGGATTTTTTTTGGTAGGCTCGTAATAATTTGCCCAGGTTCTTTGGCGCCCCTTATGCCAGCTTCCCTCTTCTGAAGTGGGTTAGTGTAGGCGCTCCGTTTTTCCATTTACCCTCTACAAGAACCAGGATTACCATCCCCAAAGGGTGCTCCCTCCAGCAAACAAACAAGCAAAAACAAACAAACGCACGCCCGCGCGCAGGCACGCGCACACACACACATATACATAATTAACCAAAGTTTTACGTACATATTTTGCATCCCTTGGCACCCGGTGTCAATCCAAAGTCAAAGGGTCATGAACCCTGCCTCTTCTTCCTTCATGTCCTTTGCGATGACTTCCTGCGCGCAAATCGAATCGGCGAAAGGACCAAAGAAATAGCGGTAAACCCGGTCCAATGCGCAGTTTTGCTTTCCGAGAATGGCTCATTCGTGTAGACCCCACGCGAAAAAGCCAAAAGACACCACCTACAACCACCTGACAAACTTTCCCAATGGCAGGTCGAATGGCAACAATGCAAGCAGCCTTTTCTGAAAGATTCTGGGAGTCCATGTCTCCTCTACATTTGCCCCCCGGCGAAACATGCTTGCCACCATTGAATATAACTCCTTCCATGTGCAACCGCATAGTCCATATGGCTGTGGCTCAAAAAACCGGTGCCAAAATGGAACCCTGGTAAGTGGAAACATGGACCAAAACCCGCGGTTTGCCCCTCTTGTTTAATTTTCAGCCACACCCATATATTGCCCAATGAGAAATCCCACTCGGCCTTTGCCCCATCCAGCATCTCTTGCGTGATCTCGGCGGGTTCGAACCTCAGATTTTTCCGGGCTACGTCTGTAGAGAAACCGGACCCAGGGAATGCGAACCTGAGATTCACGGGGCCCGTTTTAGGATACCCTTAAAGTGACCCACCCCATGCCATGAAAATCTGGACTATACTTTGACTGTTGGGCAAATTTAAGGTTGGCTTTTTTCCACTACTGTACAACTGGAAGGCTTTACCAATGACTACTATTGTTTTGCGCTCTAAGGAGGAGGTTTTGGCAAGATATCACAATTATGCTTGAAGGACCCCCCCCGGTTCTCACAACCCTAGTTCTGTTCACCGAGCTCCGATGTAAGGCTCCAGCATGTTCCGAGCAAAGTTGACATTGTGCTGCAAGTGGTTGATGTCTTCCAGAGTCTCCTTCTGGAAGCGGAAGCAGTGGCCTCACCCGCGCTCGATTCTCTCAACAATGGTCGGAGCTTGCGCGATTTGATGGCTTCCTACTGCCGACCACCTGCCAACCTAGGCAAATGACACATGCTCGCGTGCTCATGACTCCAGGGCTGCCACTCTCTCAGAAGCTGATCAAATCATGAGCAACTTGGTTGAATGAATATTTGTGGGACCCCTGCTGTAGAGAAACTGTTGGAGGAGGTCCCTGGGGTCTGTTCACGTTTTTTCAGCGAGGAAGACGGCTGTGGTGCGGCAGGTCAAGCGCTCAGAAGGTTGAAGCCCAACGCGAAGAGCAAACCAGGATCCTATTGCAGAAAACACCCCTCACTCCAAATTTACATGTTCGGTCCGCGCAATGACCAGGTTTGGATTGGACCCTTTGGTGGGAATAATTTTGGGATGTACGTCCAACCGTGATTTGGTCATTGATTATCATCTTCCATTTGCTTAGGTCCCCGGGAACAAATGAGAATATGTCCAGTAGTGTTTTAAACATGGAGGGGATACCAAAGCAAAATATCCATTTCAAAACACATTGTTTTTTTGCAGCTTCCCACTTACTATTTGTTTAAAAAGAAACAGCGAAACAACGTGCCAAGAACAGTCCAGGGAGTCCTCGCCTCGGCTCCTGTTCTCCCCCCCGAGGAAAAACCCGCGCGCCCAAAAAAACCCGCCGGCGGCAAGCCCTGGCCGCGCGGCAGTCCAGCTCCGGCTTGGGGTTCTCGGGGACCGGGAGGCCGAAGAGCCCCGCGAAGCTGGAGGCGTGGTGGCCGAGCCTCACTTGTCACCCCCGAAGCTGGGAGGACAACCACTTTCTGCATGAGCTTTCAAACCAAAACCACCCCCACAAAAAAAAGAACGGAAACCCTGCGTTTTGGTTTGCTTTGAAATGTGCTGCGAAGCTTTTGTCGTATCTCACTTGGTTGGGTTCCCCTTCGGAACCTGTCGACCTGAAACAAAGACGTTACCTACGTACCAGCAGAAAATTCAGAGCTCCTATACGTCTAACCGGAAAACCCTCAATCCAAGGATGCTCAATTCCAGTTGGCCTGTCCAAAATGTGATGTGACTCAAACCACCTCCGAAGTGAACAGGAACCGAAGTGACTCAAATAGAGCACGTCGGTCGGGGGGAGTTGCAAGAATATAGGGGGCCCTCATGGGCCCTCCTAGGTGGGCGGTTTCCTTCCAATCATACAGGGACCAACATGATCTTCTCTTTGTCAGTGTGGTTTCTGTTGTCTGTTGCGTTGTGAATGTGATCTTTTGTGTTGTGTGTGAATGTGTTTTCTTTGCGACGTGCATTGTCGCAGACGAATTCTGTCAATCAAACTATGCATTCACTAGCGCAGAAACTGTGAGCACAGTTTTAACATGCTGTTCTGGGTCGCCTGGCTTTTAGTACGCCACGCTTGACGTGACGCGGTGGTCCCGCCCCTACCCCCTTTGACTTTCCTCGCCACTTGCCCACACCCAACACGTAAGCACCACAACCGAAGCAGTCAGGGGAATCTCCGTTGGGCAGTCCCCAGTTGTCGCTTTGAAACATCTCGGGGGCAAACCCTCCAGCCTTTCTACAGGGTCACATCAGTTCCACGTGAGTTCTGTTCGCCCGGATGTCGGGCATGGCAGCCCGGCCAAAGCCACAGAAGACTTGGGTTTGCCAAGGACAAGCAGACCTCATGCGAGCCATGGTCAATATCTGATATCAAAGGAGCCGAATGAAAAACCATGTAAGGAATCAATTTTGAGAGGATAGCGATCCGTGCCTATTGCAGGACTGTCCCGTGCAAACAAGTGCAGCTCAACCAAGTTTCCAGGGAAAACGGCGAAAGTATGACATCTTTGTTTCTTGGCACTTGCCAGCCAAGCAGCACGCCGGGCATGTCAAATACAAGCCATTGGCAGCGACGAATCGGCCGAAGCGTTTCGAAAACGGGACCGGAGAAAACGCTGAAGTTGAACGTCTTGGCTTGATCATTGAAAGGTCTTGCAGGGAGAGGAATGGGACGGCCTGAAGCTGGCATAGGGCTTGGTAGTGTGGATGCAAAGATGTTTGTCTATATTGTCTATATATATACACCATATGTATGTATATGCCTACATGTGTGTGTGGGATGCAGCTATTTACTATTGTATGCATGTGTGTGTTGTTGTTGCACCGCCGCCCTGGTGCTTGTGCAAAGCTGTCACTGCGAGCAGGGCAGAGGCCGAAGGATGCGGTTCGACACAGGACCTCTGGAGATGCCGCGTATGATCCATCCAAAGCCACTCCTCAAAGAAGCCGCTAGGAAACCCCCAAAAAACAACTGACCAAGGCCGACATGATCCCACTCGCCGGTTGTCCATGGGCTTGGTTTTCGGGTGTGCCGGTTAACCCTGAGAATGTAGGCCGTCCAGCGCATTTTTTCGCCGTCGCTTGGGAAGATGCGACCCATGCCTCCCTGCAAGGCTTCATAAGAGAAGCCTTCCTGCGGTCGCTGCGGCCGGTCGGCAGCACATCTACCCCGCAAGCAACCGCCCAAAACCACAAGGAGAAGTCCAGGAAAACCGAAGGCAGCCCTCTGCGTCTTTTTAGCCTGGAGCTTTTGAGTATGCCTGAGGCAGGCCTCGAAAGCTGGCAGATATGGGAAACACGCGACCCCAAAAAAGCAATCTCTGGAATTGTGAATTGGGAGTACCGTTCCGTCGGGGATGGCCTTGGTTCCTTCCCTCAGTGTTTTCAAGAAACCGATGTGGCACATTTGAGCTCGAACACGAAGCCAGAAAAACTACCTTCCATGTCAACCCAACCTGTAAAGACATCTATGGCTCCAGGCGAAGCCGGTCAGCTCCCTGCCACCGGGCACCAAGACCATGGCTCCCTCCCGCCTGCAGATGCTGGTAGGCATCGAAGCTCAGCAGCCGGGGGTCAACTTCTGCCTTGCCCACCGCCGCGAGGTACAGCACCTGTGGCTTGTGTCAAGATTGGGACGCCCCAAAATGGTGGGTTTCCGCTTGGCCTCCTTTGAAGACCACCTATGGGGCCCTTCTGGAACAGGGTTTTCCACGCCGAATCCACAAGACGGGCTGTCCAAGGTTCAAGATGGCCATGGTCATGGCTCCAAGGGTGCCTTACGTTCCCTTACAAGTCTAGGCCCTCCAGTAGAGAGGATAGAATAAGGGTCTATTTTAGTAGGGGAACCCTCCCTGAAAAAGGGCAAAAGAGCACTACTCAAAAACCTAGAATTGTTTGACTTTTCTACCAAGTCCATGACCATCTCTGCCAACCCCAGCAGCCAGTTTCATCAACACCCGCTCTGCACCATTACAAGGCCAACCCCCCCCCCCTCAAGCCTACAAGGTGACCTACCTGCAGAACAGGAAAGCTTTCAGTCACCACCCGGCCACAAAAAAGTGACATAAAACAGAAGACGGCATCCTTGCGCTTGCCCCGCGGGCCGTCCTCCTGGTGGTTTCCACTTGCCAAGCATCCCTTTTGGGCTCCCCTTCCTAAGGCCAGCAGGGGCCGGCTTCAGCAAAAGGTGTTTCAACAACAGCGTGGTTTTCCTAACTGCGGGTGCCGGGGGCTGGTTGCTTCAGCAACATGCGTTCGTCGGAGAAAAAAAATAAAAACAACATTCTTTCTTGGGTCCCCTGAAAAATTGACAGCCCCGTTTCAGCCAGCTTTGCCGTTGCCCCGGCCTGGTACCGTGCCTCCTCCGCCCCGAAGGTCTGAAGGTCGCTCGTCGCTTTCGCCTCCATGGCGCTTGGGGACCGCCAGAGCGCCAGCGCTAGGTCGTCCATGAAGCAGCCCATGCCTCGCACGTGGCGGAAGTTTTGTTTGGCCGGCCCAGGGTCCTGAATGCAAAAGCTGGTTCTATTTGGCTCCCCCAAGGCGCCAAAAGTGGGCCCAATGAGATTTTGAAGCAGTGCTTGCTCAGGTTGGGACGGTTTTTTTTCACCCCTCAACCATCATACATGTTTACTCCCCAGTTGCCGGATGCCGCTGAAGTTGCCTTGCTTTGGATGTTGGGACTGGCTTGATTCTGCTCGAGTTGGGGCTGTGCTGAGTGACACTCTAAACTTGTTTGGATGAGAATATGGGGACCCTTGTGGATCTTGTGTGGGAAAACCTCGGATGCATTAGGGCCAGTGAAAAAAACATCCAAATACCAGCTGACATGAAGGATCCCTGGTAACCGGCCGGGTTTTCAACGGATCCTGCATTCTTTCTAGTTCTCGGTGGGAGGTTTGGGAATGAAGCTGGGGATTACCCTTGAAGCAAGCCCTAAGCTACGGTTCACCGGGCTCCTGTCCTGCTCGCGAAGCGCGATGCGCCTGTGGCGCCGAAGCCAGCGGCCTCAGCTGCCAGGTACAGCACCTGCCCAAGAGCCCCCGCCTGCCACAGCAGCTCTGCGTAGCTCCTGGCAAGCGCCGAAGCAAAACTCGAGCAACAGCACTCAAGATCCCAAGGTTTAAAAAGAACAACAAGTACTCTGTGAAAATGCACAAAGTGCTCTCTGATTAGTTGGGTTGCCTGTGCCTAGGAAAACCAGCGCCTCAAAAACCTACCCTCCTCTCAATCCCTCAAACTGTCAAACACAACACTCGCCAACTGTTTTTCCCCTTCTGCAGTTCTGAAGTACGCCCGAAGAAAATCTACGAAACAAGCTCCAGAAAGAATCTCCAAACCTGCTAGCATCACCTTGTTGCTGTTCCTGGGCGTGGCCGCCTGCCTTGGCCCATCGACCACCAAACCACAAGACTCCCGACTATCCCCCTGAAAGGCGTGGGGCGCTCCTGGGATGCGTCCAGTTGCGGAAGTCGCCGACGAAGGCGGCCGCGAAGCTGCCGCTGCCCGCCAGCTCTTGGCCGCAGGCGGACACTTGCGCAGCGTGGCGCACGTCTGCCTCAGGCAGGCAGCGCGCGGCCTCTGCTTGGACCCCCCAACCCCACAAACCCCCCCCAACCACCCCCAAACCCACAGTTTCCTTTTTTTGTGGGGCGAACATGGGGCTGAAGTCATCTCCTAACTAGGGGTGATGAAGTTCGAAGATGATCGAAAGATTCACTCTTGAGACTAAAGGTGGATAAAGGAGATACTACAAAACCTCCTAAATATGTTGTGGCGTTTTTCAGGTGCCTATCCCTCTGGTCCAAGCGGATGTCTTAGCTACCTGCCTGCCTCTCCCCCCCGCCATTTGCAACCTCTGCTCAAACCTTTGAGCGGCGTCTACAAATGCAGCCTCTTGATGTGTTTTTTTCTTTTAACTCATGCCCTCCCACCCTCCAACATGGAACCTGACGAAGAAGCGCTTGGAGGGGAGAATGGTCTTCCCAATCTACCCCAGCTTTTTCCCCACCCCCAACCAACATGAGTGGCCCTGAAACAAAAGGTCCCAGAACCTGAGAAGAAACAATTTCGGTTAAAAGCACTTCGGATTTGCCTCCAGGCTTGCGCAACAAAACATGATTACAGTTTGGAAACTGAACAAGCAAGCAAACTGGATGGTTTCACGGGTGTTTTCAGCCCTGAAAAGCAACCGCAAAACTTAAAAAATAAAACACTTTCCATGGGCCACACCCTCCTGGCTGGCCTTTGTGGCTGAGAGGGCACCCCTTCCGTAGATCCCCCACCCCCCACCCACCCGGTTGCGAGGAACCGGTGCCGCCAGGGCCCAAAGCTCGCATGGGCTGAGGTCCGGCACCTCATGGGGGGGAGAACTCGACTCAGAAGTTGTCTAAATCTATGAGTTGTTGTGGTTGTTGTTGATAATGACGATGATGACGATGATGAGGATGATGAGGATGAGGATGAGGATGATGAGGATGAGGATGATGATGATGATGATGATGATGATGGCGATGACGATGACGATGACGACGATGATGATGATGATGATGATGATGATGATGATGATGATTATGATGTGTCTGTTTGTTGGTGTTCCGTTTGGCACCCTCCCGCCCAACATGGAACCTGACGTTCTGGGGTCCTGGGTTGGACCCTTTTCGTGTAAAAGAGGCCCTCTGGTGGGTTCCATGCTGGTGGACTGGAGGGAGCATTGAGCACCTTACAATTAACATGGAATCCAAAAAGGGGGGCCCGCAAAAGGAGGTGTCTCTCAAAATGATGACTCTCTGGGTTTCATGTTCATCTGCCGGGGGAAAGTGCTTCATCCTCTTTACACTAAAGTTGAGCAGATGTTGTTTGAAATCATTTGAAATCAAAGACGCGGTGATGTGGAATGGTTGCCGATGGTGATACCATTCTTTTGGGGCTGATTCCCATCTAGCCTATGCCTAAATGAACTCACGGCGAGGATTCCCAAGAAAATCATCAAGATCTGAATGAGGAAATTCTGAGAGTAGGGGGGTTTGGGTTGCGTAACGCCTAGAAGCCTAGAAGCCTAGAAGCCTAATACTGGCATCACGCCTAGAAGCCTAGAAGCCTAGAAGCCTAATACTGGCGTCACGCCTAGAAGCCTAGAAGCCTAATACCCGCCTGACGCCTAGAAGGCGAGAAGCCTAGAAGCCTGGAAGCCTAGAAGCCTAATACTGGCGTCACGCCTAGAAGCCTAGAAGCCCTAGAAGCCTATACGCTTTACCATTTTTGTTGCGCTTCTGCGCCTTTGCACTTTTCTGCACTTACACGCTCACGCTTTATTGCGCCTCATTAAGCTTCTACGCTTCTGCGCTTAATTGCGCTTCTGCGCCTAATTGCGCTTCTACGCTTCTGGGCTTAATTGCGCTTTTGCGCTTCTGCGCTTAATTGCGCTTCTACGCTTCTGCGCTTAATTGCGCTTCTGCGCTTTACTGCGCTTTACTGCGCTTAATTGCGCTTCTACGTTCCTGCGCTTAATTGCGCTTTTGCGCTTCTGCGCTTAATTGCGCTTCTACGCTTCTGCGCTGTATTGCGCTTTTGCGCTTCTGCGCTTCTACGCTTTATTGCGCTTCTATGCCGCTTAATTGCGCTTGCACGCGCTTATTTGCGCTTCTACTCTTTATTTGCGCCTCTAACATTTACATCGCTTTACTGCGCTCCTACGCTTTACTGCGCATCTACGCCTCTACGCTTAATTGCGCAATGACTATTCAGGTTGATAAATCACCATTTAAGAAAATACACCCTCCGTGTCCGACGGTGAAACAGGAGGACAAATATTACGGAGAAACAACCAAATTAACTCAAGCGGCATGAGGTCCTGACGGGAATAGGCGCTTTATGATCAAGCAGAGGCCTGCTAAGATCTTCCGTCTCCACTGGCCATCGCTCTCGCGAGGCAACACCTACACCTGTACATCGGATCTCTGGCAAATATGAACAATAATGAAATGGATTGAGATTTGAACAAGTAAATTGATGTCTGCCATAGTTCCTGATGGAAAGCAGCGCCAGTTCCAGTTGCGGGGATGCGTCCAGGGTTGTTGATCTTCTTCCCGCCATGAGTCCACGATTGGTTCCAGCCGCTCCAGTAGGTGTGTTTGCCACTGCCAGAGGTGTGGGATAGGCCTCCTTGTCACACCCACAACGCCAGGGAGAGGGGTCTTGCCAGCACCTGAATGTGCTCTCACTCTCGACGAAAATTAGCAGATCAACCAGAAGTCTGCAAAAATCGTCCGCCGTGGCAGACACACATATCGTCGGGGTTGCTCTCCTCGACTTCCTCCTGCAATGCCACCGCTAGCCGTGCTGCGTACCTTGGAACGGCACCTTTGATCATCTCCTTGGTGCGCTCAAAGCTCAGGGTGACGCAGCGGGCCACTTTCTGGACAAACTCAAGCGCAGAAGGCGTCAGGTCTCCCCGCGGAGCGCTGTAGGCAGAAAACGGGTCGGTGATGAGGCGCTCGTAAAGACTTTTGCAACCCTGCCCCACAAGACAGAGCTTTCATAATGCCCAAGCCTCCTTGGCCGCTCCTAAGAGTCCATGTGCTGCGTCAATATCTGGGTTTCGATTTGCTCCATGATTCAGGGAACGGCCATCTCTTCAAGACGCGCAACACGTGCCACTTTCTTGATGTCCGGCATTTTCTCCTGCAGAACGTCGCATTGAAGCAATGAGTTGAGACGGGCACATTTATCGGGGAGTGCGAGGACACGTCGCGCGGCCATGCCTACCTAACGGTAGTGCCTGGGACAGGCTTGAACGCAAGGCCGGGGGGGCCAGGGCCTCTGACTCACTCAAACACCGTCCCGCCTTTGAACTTGCGGAGACGGTTTCGTTTCTGGAGTTCACTTCCCTTCTCGGCACAAATCTCGAATATTTTGCCAACGTGACTTCTTTTTGGCCTCTTTTGCCGACTTGCAACCATTCACGCACAGTGTTATAGTCCCACGCGCCCTTGCTTTCAAAAACTGCCATTCAAGATTGAAGCATAGAAGCCGCCAAAGTCTACGTCGCTGAGAGGCCCACAAGCCTAGAAGCCTAAAGCCGAGTCACGCCTGGAAGCCTAGAAGCTCTGCTGCGCTTCTGCGCTTTTACGCTTCTGCGCTTAAATGCGCTTCTACGCTTCTGCGCTGTCTTGCGCTTTTACGCTTCTGCGCTTAAATGCGCTTCTACGCTTCTACGCTTAATTGCGCTTTTGCGCTTCTGTGCTTAATTGCGCTTCTACGCTTCTGCGCTTAATTGCGCTTCTATGCTTAATTGCGCTTTTGCGCTTCTGCGCTTAATTGCGCTTCTACGCTTCTGCGCTTAATTGCGCTTTTGCGCTTAATTGCGCTTCTACGATTTTGCGCTTAATTGCGCTTCTACGCTTCTGCGCTTAATTGCGCTTTTGCGCTTAATTGCGCTTCTACGCTTCTGCGCTTAATTGCGCTTCTACGCTTCTGCGCGTTGTTGCGCTTCTACGCTTTTTTGCGTTGTGCGCTTCTGCACTTTAGCTCGCTCTGCGCTTTGCTCCGCTTGTTCTGTGCTGCGCTTCTGTGCTTTGCTGCGCCTCGCTCCCCGTCGGCGCTTCTGCGATTTATTGCGCTTCTGCGCTTCTGCGCTTCTCGGCTTCTGCGATTTATTGCGCTTCTGCGCTTCTCGGCTTTTGCGGTTTATTGCGCTTCTGCGCTTCTGCGCTTCTCGGCTTCTGCGGTTTATTGTGCTTCTGCGCTTCGCGGCTTCGCCGCTTGACACACCCGGGCTGCAACCCAAATCCCCTTGCAATGGAAATTCATTCCTTTGAGCACTCGGATCCCGTAAGGCCAAAATGGGATTGTAGTTTTTTGAGCTCCCAAAACCGGGCCTGGGCTTTGCAAATAGTGGCGACCCCATGGAGACACGTGGCTGTGATACTCCCACCCAACAACGACATCACCTTCCAGACCCTGTCCAGCTGTCACACATTTAAGACACAGGAACAAACACGAGCACATCTGCGTCCCAAAGCCAAAAATGGCCACCAAGCCCCGCCGGACTTTGGAGCCTCCTCGCGACGGGCAGTGGGGTCCAGGTCCGGCATAGCCATGGGTTCGTGGCCCGCGCGGAGCAGCAGGTAGAGGCCCGGCTCGAAGCCCTGCACCGCCTCGAGTTCGGGGTGAAACCGGAAAACTCGGTTGCGAAACCTGCTCCCCTGCTAAAAGTGCGAGCTGGCAAAAAGTTAAAGTCCTAACATGCACCAAGGGAAATCGACCGGATCCTGACCCGGGTAGATGCTGGTGGAGGCGTTGCAAATCCGGGGCGCAGTTGACAATGAATCGGAACCCCTAAAATTGAAACTACGAGGGATGGTTCATAGGGGGTCATTCCCTCAATACCCGATGAGAACCAGCACGTTGTGCTTTACTAGTTCATGCACTGGTCTTGGCAGTCCCGTTTGCGACTAGCCAAAGGTTAAACTCAGGGCCCACAAGGGAAACCGAATCGCACTCATGACCTAAGCAAACCTTTCGCCGTGCTCCCCTTTGGTGAAATAAGAAAAAGGAGCAATTGCAGGGGCCTTGCACTCTTTTTCAGGGCGTGTCTTGACTTTCCCAAAAATGAGTGGCGCCAGGCCTTTCCCTCCCTCCCCCCCCCCCTAAAAAATGTAGAAAAGGCTGGTCTTAGGGGGTGGGGGGTAGATGGTTGCCTGTTCTGTTTTCTTTTTCACATTTCAACGCGTGAACCACCTTATCCGTTTTTTCAAGGCTGATTTTGGGGGCATGAAATAACGATATGGATGTGGTAACGAATTGATGATTTGGTCCCCTGTCTCGTTCCAGATTTCAACTTTTAGTTTTATTGATTGAAAGAGGTTAGGACTTTCTGTGGATTCATGGGTTGGCTTTTGGGCGGTTGTTGTGGTTTGTCATTGTTTTGCCACCGTTCGCCCCGTTGCCACGTCCTCATTGACATCGTCTTCTGTTTCCGTCGGGAGACTCAGACTTCGAATGGACGTTTGAGCAGACAAGCTTGAGACCACTTGGTTGAATTGAGTTTTACCATTCGTTGTGCATTCTGAGATGAGGACATTTGAGCGAACACACTTGAGCATTGACTGACTTGAAACAACCGAAGCCTTCTGCTTTCAAGCATTCCAAGTGTCCAAGCACTTTTCTATCTTTGAGCAGTCATGTCTGTCATCGCTTCCGAGAGCGGGTCAGAGTTTGGCATGAGCCTTGAGGAGATTGAAGCCCTTGAAGTTTCGTCGGTGTCAGAGAGTGAAGAGTTAGAGATTGATGAAGGACTGGAACAGTATCCAGACGCGATGCTGATTTCGGAAATCCTTGAGATTGCCACCAACCGTGAGAACCTCAAGGGCATCGACATGGAGACGCTCAAGACTTCGAAGGTGGTGTTGATGAACCACCTTGACTACCTTGAGAAGCATCAGAAGCACTTGCGTCAGGCATTGACCAACGTGAATAAGGAAATCACGGCATTCGAGAAGAAGGTGATTGATGAGATGAAGGATGAGAAGAAGAAGCAGGCATCCCAAGCGCTCCTAGAGAAGAACTACGAGGAGTTTGAGATTTTCATCCGCCCTGTTGGTTTTGAATGGTTCTCCACCACATTCACCCTGATGGTTTGCTTGGCTACCACGTTCTCCAACCTGCGTGAGTTGATTGTCTCCCGTCTTCTTTCGGAACTCACGAAGGTGAAGAAGGTGAGGATCACCCAGAAGGCGCAGGAGGCAATGGAGAAATCCATTAAGCTTACCCATGACATCCTTGACCTGAACCGCCATGGACGCAAGTCATTGGGCAAGGTCGGAGTTCAGAAGGGCATCACCATTACTTGCTCAATCAAAGGGCGTGGCGGTGGCAAGCGAGCACACTCCTCTCGGGAACAGCCAGTCAGTGAGAAGGACTTGCGCTTCAACATCACCAACACCATCGGACAGCTTGAGACAAACACGGAGACACCGTTCATCGCCATCATCGTCAGCAAGGTGAAGGAATTGATGGAAACCATCAATGAGAACCCAAAGAAGAGCGCCACAACGCTCATTTCCAAGCTCGGCAAGAAGCAGTTGAGCACCATCATCACTGACACCTTGAACCACTCGACAAGGGTGGCAACAAGGGCACAGTTTGTCGCGGAGAATGTCTTTGATGATGAGTTCAAGACCATCAACAACATCAAGAACTTTTGCGAGATGACCCAGAACTTGCTGACCAATGTTGTGCTGGTTACCATCGTTTGCGAGTACTCCGAGCCCAACGGTTCCATCGCTTGGTCTGCTTTGACAAGGGTAGCAACGCAGAAGCTTTCGGAATCCGACGTGTCAGAGAATGGGACCAACTGCTCTGTCTCCTGAGGAGGACAGTTTGGAAAAAAAAGAAGTTTCAATTTCCACCAGGGAAATACATATTTCCACCACTGAAAAGAACACTTCTTTCCACCACGGAAATACATATTTCCACCAGGGAAATACATATTTCCACCACTGAAAAGAACACTTCTTTCCACCACAGAAATACATATTTCCACCATGGAAATATGTATGTCCACCATTGAAATAAACACATATTTCAACCAAGGAAATACATATTTCCACCAGTGAAATAAACACATATTTCAACCAAGCAAATACATATTCCTACCATAGGAATACACATTACCACTGTTGAAACATTCCTGTGAGGATTGAGCCCACGTGGTCTCATCGGTGTGTCTGAGAACACGGCTTTTTGATTGACCACATCTTGGATGAAAGACATCCACGGCTTTGCGCGAGATTGAAAAATAGCTGGAGCTTGCAATTAGTGATGCTTGCACTAGACACTTTTGACTGACACACTTGACATTTGAGAGTTCCTGCTAGTTTTGACACTCAAAGCACCTGCCTCACTGCTCGCCCGTCTTAGCTATGGCTTGTGATGAATGTGTCCAACTACGTGCTCAAATTGAGACACTCCAAAATGAGATGAGAGCAAAGGACTTGGTCATAGCCAACAACTTTCAGCAAAACCCGCTGTATGAAGAAGACTATGGGCTTAGCTTTGTCTTTACCAAGCGTGCCTGTGAGGATTTGTATTTCCAAAGTTTTGGGGGTGGCAAGTCCTTCAGTGATGAGGAATGGGTTTTCGTCAAAGACCGGTTCAATGAGTGCATCGCAACACAGGCTGACTATGCGCAGGGTGACTTTGACGACTTGAAGCACTACGCCAGAGACGCTATGTGGTATGTGCTAGGTTTTCCGGTATGCGTGCTGTTCTTCAGGGGCGACTTCTACAATCCTCCCATTCGCAGAATTGATGTTCGCATCACTGTTGGCAACGGCTTCTACGTGACCAACATCACCACCGAAAACATCCTTGAGGTGCTTTGGGAGAAGGAAAAGAACGTGTGGCTCAAGGAGAACGGCTGGTGCAAGCACGAAATCACCTTGAGGCTCCTGAACACCAGATACAGCGAGGTTGATGACGAGCTTGAAAACTTCGGGGGACACTTCAACGACCTCTCCGTCAGACACCGCAAGAAGTATTTGCAGGTCAATTCACAGCAGAGCTCTGAACTCAGCTTTGATAGTGGTGACATTTGGGAGAGGCTGATTGACAGCCCTATCCAGATGAACCTTTACAACAGATTATGCGAATGTGAGCAGGAAGAGAGCGAGCAGGAAGAGTGCGATGATGAGTGCGATGATGAAATTATCGACAATGACTGATTGACATGTTCGCTTTACCACTCAACAAAATGAACAGTGTTGGTGGTTCTACTTCATCTGAAAAAAGATGATTACAGACTTGGAGTTGCAGGGAAAACAAAAGAGTTCGAGCAGTTTCATCTGACATTTGACAGGGTTGGTCTCGATGTTCAAGACATCCTTGAAAGGCAGTTTTTTTTTTTTGTTTTTTTTTTTTTGAAGGCTTGGAGGTTCTGAGGTTTGATAGGTGAGGCTATCGTTCTGGACACGCTTTTTTTTTTGTTCTGTGACACCAACCCACCACACCCTCCCCTACTTTTGATAGTCTCCGCACCTGCCGCACTCTGAGGTTGTGAAGTCATCGTCCTCATCGACTACGATGCTGTCGCCTTCTAGGTTCTGGGTCGGGTGGGATGGGAGGGTAGGGAGGGAGGGTTCTTTCCTTAAACTTGTTGTTTAATTGAAAGGGGACACTATCGCCAATTTTCTGTTTCAATGTTTGTCCCCAAACCCAATTTTCAAGGTTTCTTCCCTCTCGACCCTTCAACTCCACTTTCTGAAAACCCACCAAAACAAGGGCATAATCCGCCATTTCCCAAATAATCCAAACCCAAAAAATCACAAAATCCATTTCAAGTTCATCACCAACGACCCCAATTTCAAGTTTCAAGCCCAAGCCCAAACCCTCCACTAAATAATTCTAATAATTTCATATTATTAGAATTATTTAGATATTTAATTTATTGTGTAGTGTCGCGAAGCTCACTAGGCTATTGCTTCGCAATAGCGTAGTGTCCATACGGGATTGAATTGAAAGCATCAATATAAAACCTTTTGTTCTCATAATTACTGAGTGATTGCTTGACTTGAGACATTGAATATATTTGATGTGTTTTGCTCCTGATGAAGTTGTAGGAGATTTCGTGCTTTTTGTTGTGATGCAGTGCTTCATGATAGTTCTGATAGGTCAGTTCCTTCTTCACCTTGTGCTTGACTACACCTTTTGATTTCTTGTGTTCCTCATCCTCGCCGTGGATTGTGAAAGCATAGGATTTAGGTTTCAACCCGATGAATCTAGTAATGATTTTTCCAGTGACTTCATCTTTGTACATTCCTAAGACCTTCTTATTTGTTGTGTCATGACATGGATGTTCAACAGGATAATCACTAAAATCCATATGTTGCTTGATACCTTGAAAATCCTTGTAGATATCATCCGTGAAGGTTTGAATTACATAACTGTCAGTATCTGTATATATCAATTTGATATTTTCGTTGTATTTCTTTTTCAACACACCATAGTAAAACTCATACATATGTAATTTACTTAAATCAAGAATGGTCATTCCTAAGAATATGGGTTTATCCAATTTCAGTTTCGCTTTAGTTTTCTCCACTCCTACAAGATTTTCATTAATGATAAATCTATTTTTGAATGTAGGATTATTCACACA